AAAGTTTACTCTGGAAACTGCTTGCAAGTCAGTCAGTGCTGGACACAAGGCACTGAACCCATGGAATTCAGGGTTGTTTATCTTTATCAAAATATCCTCGTGGCTTTAAGAAAGCAAGAAAGCAAAAGCGATAAATGAAATTAAGACAGAAAGAAGCCAAAAAAGTAACTGTTCATATTAGGATTGATTCTCATTCCTAAATAGCACATAAACAGAAGCCCAAGCGCTGCCATCTGTTTATATCCAATCCTTTTTAAAAGCTGTAGGATGGTGGTGGTGGTTGGTTTATTTTTTTAAATTGAGTTCACCTACTTGCACATCTGCCAGGTTCACTGAACGTAGCAGTGCCTTTGTTCTGTCTCACCAAACATAAGAAGATGGGAATTGATATATTCTCCCCCACGTACACAACAGAGAAATCTTCCCAGAACAGCATCTCAGAAATCCCCAATAATCTTGAGATGACTTTGACATATTAAAAAAACCATGTTTTGTAAAAGGCAGGTCATCAACCCCGACCTCAACAACCCCGACATTTTGAGGAAAAAAAACAGCAGTCATTTGTCAAGGGAGTGTTTTGTTTCTAAACATAAAGTGACATTCCTGTTACAGTTTTTTCATTTGAAAGGTTAGCATAAATGGCACACATACACTTTAAATCACCACAGAACATGGAACCATCTTGATGACCCGTCCTTTTTAGATACCACTCTGCTTCCTATTCCTACAAGATAGCCCATCCAGAAAACACTACCTGTGAGTCTCTAAACAAGAGCCAGAAATACTCATCAGCTTCCTAGTTAATTTGTCTCCCACATGTGTACAATTCCTTTCATGGGATCTACTTACCCAACAAGGAAAACAGAACATATTCTACTCTACAACAGTTTCTTTGCAAAAGCAGATTTAACTGACATCAAGTTTTGTTTCTTATAACTTCCATAAGTCTTGATATCAGCATAAAGGGTACACTTCCACCACCAGAGCTTCATTCCCTTATATCTTCTTTCCCAAAAAACAAGACCACAAAAACAAAAGACTTACCGTTATTATAGCAAATAAATCTATTTCAGCTAAAACCTTTATTTACTCATATTTATATACTCTTTCTGATACGCCACTTGCATATAAGGATTTTTTCTTCAAGCTCTGGAGGTCAGTCTCAGCTTGAGGCAGAACATGAGGCACTACTGATATTTCCAAAGGCCTTTCTTCATCTCCCTTGTCAGACTTCAGTGGTTCTGCACCCAGCGTACTAAGAGTCAACCCAGTCACTAAATTTGGGTGGCACAAGCAAGTTCTTTCTGTTCTGGCTGCTGTGCACAAACAGAAGCTTCTCTGTCTTCCTCCAGAGACTGGAGCACATACTGATTAACACTCCCTGGACATCACACTGAAAGGCTTTCCAGGTGTGGCAGAAGTCTTGGACACTGCCTCAGCACATATTCTCTCCCTGATTGAATCTGTTACAGAAGGATTAGCACATGGTGCAGATATGACCATTCTCAAACTGGTTCTTGCCTGGGTTTACCAGAGACTGGACCCACATCGTCCCTCCCTGCCCTACCTTCTTAACACTGACACGTGGGTAGGCTGGGTAGGTGCATCACCATTTGTTTTGTGCAGTGACTGGGACATAATTATAAGTCTCTAAATTTAAAGCAGATGTGAGAAAAAAAATTACCACGTGCCCTTCCTCTTTTGAAACAAGGTACAAAACACAAAAAGCAACAGGAGCCAGAACCCACACATATCACTTCCTAGTGATAAACTGATTAAAATAATTCTCACTCTTCTAACTACCTAAAATATTGAAGACCTGTGGATGTTAATTTTCTGTCACCGTATGGTTAGTTTATAGCCTGAATTTCAGAGTACGAAGTCAGTAAATACTATGTGTTTGTATCCATGGCTGTTTCTCTCTTCCCTACAGGTGGCACAAACCCAACAACCCCCTTTTCTAACAGCTGAAACAAAATGCTAAAAGCAATAAAGATATTTCAGAAGCCCAGAAGGACCTAGAAGCACTAGTGAATCCATGCAGACAGACAGCCTAAAGTCACCATGGGTAACATCACTGTGCAAGGCAAAGCACGCTCCAGCTACAGAAATTCCATCATAATCTCGCCCTGACAACGAAGTTGCATTAACAATATTGATATGAATCATATACTAGAAAACACCACTTTTGCTAAGTCAGCACTGGATTTCCTAGGATCTCCTGCTCTACCACTGCCATACAGCAGCCCACTGCATGCCACAGAGTTAAACTCTTGGCTTAAACAGGCAGCAATGGATAGAATCCTCCTCACCAAGGGTGCTCTGAAGGCAGAGTAGCCAGCAAGGGTCAAGAAGACACACTGCTGTTTTAGTTGTAGCAATTAGTTTAAAAGCCACATGCACTCCTCCATACTTACATCTCTGATCAAACCGTACTCAGCTAAAACAAGCCAGACCCTCCAAACATAACACACTTTATCAGTGGCTTAGACAGGTAAGTGTTGTAACAAATCTCTCACACAAAAGAGAGGATTTGGGGGGAACAGGCTTGAAAATAGGGAGGAGGGATAACAATGGGAGAGTATCCTGCTTCACAAAATAAGGAATAATTGTGAGGAACTCACACGCTGCGTACAATAGTATGGTGAAATATTTCTATTCATACAGCAGCACAGATAACTGCTTCCAGGAACTGAGAAAGGGATAGACTCAGAGGGGAATAAAAAAAACCAGTTAACCCCCCCAGTTCCCAAAGGCCCTTCAAAAGCCAACCAGGGTTTCTTTCATCACCACGATTTGCAATTCAGCAAAAAGGTATGGGTCATGTAAATACAAAACCTGCTTTTTTTGCTAGTCAGGCCATTAGTCACATATTACAGATGAAAAGTTATGCGAACAAAATCTCAAAAAAGCTCGTGACAGGATCGAAAAGAATGTTAAAAATTATGAAAAACACGATGCTTTAGTATAGCCCAGATAGTAGGCTTTCTTCAGTTTAGGCTTCTGCTAACATCTTTATAGTGATTTAATTACAACTAAATTGGTTTCCCAGCAGTGGTGAAGAAAGTTCACATTATGTCAAATATTATGATAAATTCACATTTCACTCAGCAGATCCCAAACTTTTTCAAGGTGCAGCCTCTCTTGCAGTTTGATGGATTCAGACAATTCCAAAATTCTGGATGACACAGTAAAGCCACAGACTCGACTGCTCTACAAACTGCTGTTCTGTCATAAAAGTTCTGAACTGTGCTTCCAGAACTGAACTACATTCAGTACAGCAGTTAACTAAACAACTACTGATTTAATCCAAATATTTCATTACTGAAAAAAATTCCACTCTTGTACTACCAACTCTAGTCACAGCAGCACGGGCAAGGTGGTGATTTCTCTCTTCCCATCCTATTTGAAATGGCTGTGAGGGTGCTGACTCATAAGTGACCCTGAATCGGGGCACACATCTGAGCTGCTGCAGTTTTCAACACAAACTCCAGTAGCATGTCAGGTTGTGGCTCAGGAGGAGATGTGTGTTCAGCCACCTACGGCTACAGACGCCGTAATCTCAGGGAGGAAAGGAGGGCAGGCAGCTGGCGGAGGTTACTGCTGGAGTCACCTTAGCCCAGCTGGCCATTGTTTGAGAATTACAACCCTACAGCCAAACCCGGCAACTTTTTTGTGGTTACAGCCTGTCGGGTTTGAGGTAACGTGTTATCCAGCTGCAACCACCCCATGGGCACCAGCGTGGCCCCCCAAACATGCATTGTTCTGAAGAACAATCCTATTTCTATCCATTTGCTTTCGTTCCCTTGGCTCCTGTACTGCTCCCCCCACCACCAACACCCCCGTAGGTGTTTCTTTACATCTTTTCTTCGCATCTCCCAGTCTCTCCCATTTCCACCGGGGCTTCAATTCTAACCATTTCACACGGCACGAACCACAACGTGAACTTCCACGGTGCACAGCCAACATTCCAGGTAAAATAAATTGCAGACTTCCCAACTGAGATTCGGAGCTCACGCTACCAACGAGGCAGCTGTGGAAGGGCAGCAATTCCTGACACGGGCTCCAGGATGGCAGCAGATCCAGAAACAAAGCACCGTGTCAGCTGACGCTCACCCCGTAGTAGAGGCGATAAAATACACGAAACGTGACCGTTCAGCGCTCGCAAAGAAAACACACACGAAAACCCCAACACCGCCACAGGGTCTGGGCAAAAAGGCAGCGCTCCCCATCACCTCGGACTGAGGTGACTGAGACAACAAAAGCGAGCGCTTCCCAAGGACAGACCGAGCGAGGAGGGGCGGAAAAGCACGGCCGGGGAGAGCGAGCGGGCAGCGCAGGAATGACCGACCGTGCGAGGCAGCGCCGGACCCCGCCCGGCCGGCGGGCAGTGCCCGGCAGGACGCGGGGTGATGTGGCCGCCCCGCCGCGCTGCCCGGGGCCGTGCCGGGGCCGCCCCGCCCCGCCGCGGGCGGTGACAGCGTGCGGGGCCCGGCGGGGCGAGGCCGCGACCCCCCCGGCCGCCCCCTCCCACGGCCCGACACGGCCCGCGCACCCCCGCCGGGACCCGCACCCACCTGCGCGGCAGCGCCGCAGCCCCCGGCGGACCCTGCCCGGCCAACGCCGCCGCCGCCGCAGCCCCTGCCCAGCGCGGCGGCTGCTCCCGCAGCTACCGGCGCCCGCAGGCCCCGCCCCGCCCCGGCGCGCTCCCCCCAGCGGCCGCCGAGGCGCGTTAACCCTCCCCGCCCATTCCCGGCGCGGCGCGGGCGGCGCGGCCCCTCACCGGCTGTGTCGGCCCGCGGGCAGCGCAGGGGCAGGGGCGGCTCCGCCGGGCCCCGCTCGGCGGCTCCGCTCCGCGCCGCTCCCGCCCGCGCGCCCGGCGCGAGACACGCGCAGGCCCCGCCCCCCGGCGCGCGCGCCCGCACGGCCGGGCTCCCCCTTCGCCCCGCCCCGCCCGAGGCCCCGCCCCCGCCCCCCGGCGCTGCCGCTCCCCCGGCGAGGTTTGGCCGCTCTGCCGGCCCGTAGCGGCGGCGGCGCCGGGCGGGAAGTGCGAGCGGGGCGAAGGAGCGATTCCCGGCTCAGGTACGGCGGGAACGGGAGCGGGAACGGGAATGGGATCGGGCACGGGATCGGGCACGGAACTCAACCCGGACCCGCGCCCGAGGTGCGCGCACCTCCTGAGGGAGCCGCTGGCGCGCAGGGCGACTGACCCGCTGCGGGATCCTCACAGTTCCACTGAACTAGGAATTTATTTAATTATTTCGTTATTATTACAGTATACGTAATAAAATAATAATTAATAAATAATTAATTTAAGGAACCAGAACCTGCATTAAAGTCCTTAGCCGCTGTTCGCAGGCAACGCTGAACAGAGAGGTTATGGCAAATCGGATGGACCTGTGAGATTGCTCAAGGAATGACAGAGTTATTGGCATGTAAATTATCACTGTTTCAATTAGGATCTTGTTGCAAGAAATACCGTTTATATTGTAATTACATTTATCATATTGTATCGTATTATAGATATTATAATATCGTTATCATATCTTACTATATATCATCTATATCTTTTACGTATTATATATTATTATATTTTGTACCATACATTACAATTATATATATATATAAAATATAATCATAATATAATTCAGACCTCTCACAGCCTGATACCCGCTGAGGTCTCGATAGCCTGAACTCCCTTTCCAATTGTAGAAGCACAGAATCCATTTTAAATGCATTCCTGGTAAAGGTAAGGAAGGAAGAGCTTTACCCCGTGTTCATTAACTTCACATAAGTGCATGCTGTCAAGTCTAAAGTGTCCCAAAGAAGGGACACTTGATATTGCCGTCTAAGAAAGCAGAGGGATGAAAACAGATACAGGGTTGCCCATGCCTGGAGTGTTCTGCCGATTTCAAGTGTAAATGATTTTTCATTTAACAACAAACAAGTGTCAACCTGGAGCTAAACAGGAAAACAGAGAGCTTTAAAGCTTTGGGGTTTTTGTTGTAACTTAATTAGTGTGTCAGCTTAATAGGGGTCCTGCTGCCAGAAGTGTCATCTGTACCTGTAATCACAATGGGGTTTATGATGCACAGTTTGACAGATCTCCCACAGCTCTTGCAGAGTTCACATGTTTCAGTTTCCAGCCCGGATTAATTTCTTGTCATAATTGCATTTGGGAAATCTGCAGCCTTTCCAGTTACAATTGGACAGGCTGCTTTTCCCTTGAAGTCCCAAACCATTACTCTGAGTTAAAAAGCCTGCTGTCTTTCCCTTGCAAGGGCTAAAGTGACTCGTGCATAAATGATGTGGATATAAATCAATCTGACAGGCTTTTAGAAAGAAGTACCCACATAAATAATTTACAATATTTGATTAATATTTCTGCCAGGTCTGGTCTCCAGAACGAGCTCCTTTCTTTTAATCCATCTGTATGTATGTGAAACTCGTTTTTGCAGACTGGATTGTTCACTTTTGATTTTGTAACTGTGAGGTGTTGCTGTTTCACACCTGGAAAAGAGCTTGTTTGTCAAATAAGTTTCTCTTTTCCTTCAGTTCTACCTTGTAGTGCAACAAAACAGGGCAAGTCTTACTACAACCCCAGCTCACTGTTTGTTGCTGTAGGAAATTCTTTTATATATAATATCATCAAAAAATTATTTGTGCAGACAAACCCGTTAATACCCTGAATGAATTTTTTTTTAGTGCAGAATTGTGAGTTAATGCAAAGAAATTAAGTAGTGCAAGAAGCAGGCTTTATATTCTTGGAGAGCAAATGTATTTCAAATTTAGAATTGTTTGGAACTACCTGTTTCATAAGGTGCTATTGATGCATTTTTAACTAATAAAACTTCGTGGACACTCAGTAAGGCAAAAACAACAATGGGCACTGAATTTTAAAACAGCAAAGAGAATTATGTAGGAAAGGAGTAACTGACACGCAACACTGCTATTAAGGAAAATGTTTGGAGGCATAACCAGCAACATTTGAAAAACACGTAGGCTAAAACACAGCAACATGTGGGTTAAACCAACCAATTTGGACTGGAGCTGGGTTTGTATTTGGTGGGGAAGCAGGGCCCTGAACAGCCTCCAATAGTTACACAGATGACTGGTGAACTTGTGACAGCTGTATAAAGGCTGTTATGACAGAAAACTCAGCATAGTGAATAAGGAGGTTTCTCATCCCACATTCCAAAATGCAGGAATTGACCAGGCAGGCTTTGTTTGAGATGTTGGATGTATTCAAAAATTCTTATATAGATACATTCCTCAACAAAGGCACTGTGTTATTCTGCTAAGCTTCTATAAAGGTAAGGAAGGAAGAGCTTTACCCTGTGTTCATTAAAATGTTAATTAATAAAAATTGTAACCAAGATTAGTGTTTTCTGTTTAGTGTAGGGAGGGGATCATCATCCCAGACATGGCAAATGTAAACCTAGTAGTGCCTGATAAACCTATGAGTTAAATTATGCTTTTGGAGCCACATAGATTCCACTGGAATAAATGGAACTGCTCGGAGGTGTCAGATGTGACACATGCCCTAACTGAGTAGAAATTGCCATAGTGCTGTTTGTGTGCCTTGAAAGCAAATACAGTTAAATTACTGCAGGTAGCTCAAACTTTGTGTGTTGTATCTTCTTTATTCTCTTACTACAGAACGTAGCCTGAATCAATAAGATGCATCAATAAGGTATTGGCAGCATCAGAGCCCACCCAGTCTCATGACCTCCCCGTGCATTTCATTGTTTAACCTGTAAAACACTGAATATCTTTTTCTTCTGATGAAGTCAACAGAACGTCACCTTGCTTTTCTCAAGTCGTCCAGGTTGTTTGCCTAGAGATAACAGAAGTCAAAACTGAAGAGTTCTATTGTATGCAGCTTTTCCACAGGCAATTTCATCATCCCTTTTCCACTCTCTTTAAACTTTGGTGTAGCACAGGCCCGTCTTGATTAGGAACATCTGCCCCATTTATACTTTAAAGAGTTACCTCAAATTTAGTTTTAGGTAAAGCAGCCTTTGCATAACAGGTAAATCAACTTATAAAGCAGTTTGGAGTTCCCAGAGGAAAGAATACTCCACGGAAATATAAAACTTTTAAAGCTTTTTGCATGTCTTCTTGGAGTAATTTGCACCTTGGGTTAAATATGTGGCATTATCTTTAGCTCTTGCTAAATCACTTGTTGCTACACGTGTAACTGTTTGCTCTGGGTGGGCTCAGTGGAATTGCATTGATGGAAAGAATGCTGAAGATTATTTTACTCAGCGAGCCAAAGCTTCACTGTGAAGGAAACTTACCCTATAGAGAGGATGAGGTTGAATGAAAAGCCCTCTGAAAGTTCACAGTCCATGTCAAAGTCCTTAGATTGTGTGATGCTGTGATTAATTTCTTGGAAGAGCCATGTTCTAGCCGAGCGTTTCCCGAGCTGTGGTACTCACACAATTCGTGGTATGCCAGCTATTCTGAAGTGATGCAAAACTGCCTGCTTCCACCTTACACTTGAGGAGAACTGGCAACTGGCTCTCCTAGCTCAGGATTAAGGCACGGGGCACGGTTCAAAAGCCTAGTTTGTCAAGACAGAGGGGAGCTGATGGGAAAAGAGGCGATTTAGGACCAAAATAAATTTTTGGGGGTAGTGGACAGCAGGGTAGAAAGGTGTGTGAGAATGTGTTAATTTAGAAAATTAGAAGTTATGTCCATACAATCATGGAAGGGGAAGGTGTTGCTACCACAGCCCACAGCAGTAGTTGTACCTGAACAGATTAAATTCAGGATTATCTGCTCTAGAAGATTGCTTTATTTCCTGCACAGGAATTTGTGGACACACCCAGATTTTTCTCAGCAGCTGCTCCATCCACTACCAGCATACAAATATATACCTATTTCTAGAGTGCTGTTGAAAATTAATATTTCATCATCTAGTTTCCCAAACCAGAGAATTTTTTTTTTGATCGTCTACCTAATATGTTCAAATTTTAAAGATCAAAATATGGAAGTAATAAAAGCTGTTAAGTTTCTTTACCTGATCTAGTCTACCCAGATAAGATTTTGGAGCACAGTGCAACACCTCTAGTCTTGTGGGGTTTTTTTCTCACTGATAAGAAAATTTCCTGAGAACATTGCCAGCTGAACTGAAAGGAATTCCCTGTAAATAATAAGTAATGGTCAGAATCACAGAGGTAATAAATTATAATTCCTTTAAATTGATGTAAGCTGTTTACATTGTCCTGCACACATAGCAAGTCTATTTGAACTTTAATTTTTAGTATTTCAAGATGGTTTGAAAACAGGGCTTTTTTAACACTGGTTAATGAGTCAGGCAGTCTCCCTGCACAGTCCTGGCCCTGGAGGGTGTTCGAGGCTCTTTGGCACTCAAGCCAATAGCTTATTATCTACTTCAGTATTAATGTTTCATGTAAGTTAAAATGTTGTGGGGAGAGGGTGGGGTGGGTGAGGAAAAAATATTCCACTGAGGAATGGAAGTACCTTGCCTTCCCTAGCTCCTGGCTCTGATACTGAGATAGACTTATAGCTCCATTTGCAGAATTAACTTCTCTCTCTTCCAAACTCCTGCTCTAATAATTTTGATATTGGAGTTCTGTCACTTTGAAATGCTCTGGCAATTGCTTTGAGACCCAGGGCTCTACTGTGCTGCACTTCACCGACTGCAAAACCCACCACATTGCTCTGACAGAGTGTTTGCTTTAAACAAGGCTCACAGCTGAGGCTGTGCCTGCAGGTAAAGCCTGAAACCAAACTGGATTCATCCATAATTTGAAGACAAAACACTGACATGTTTTTAAACTGTTTATTGCAAAGAAGTATGTTGCTAGTATTCCCTAGCAGCATCTGATCTGCTGGATTAAAACCATGTGATGTGAAGCTGTTCTCAGTGGGATTCTGTACTTCCTTGTTCTCATTCAGAATCAATTCCCATAACTTATTCAGAACTTTGTTAGGAGTGTATCTCTTTAATAAATTTAGACTGATAATGGTGCACACAATATAAAAACTTAAAGGACTTCAACTGAAATCAGTATTAAGCAATTTTGCATCAAAACACCACCCACCTACTTTGTATAAATTGGTCACAGGGCTATGTAGCAAATGACATTTTGTTTTTTCCCAAGGGATTATAACGATTAAGATCTGACGTAGACTGCTTGGGGCATGAGGGGAGGCAGCAGTATTGTTCAAACTTTGATTCCTTTTGCCTCTCACCACACATACTATTTTTTGCTCTCTACTTGTCTCCCTCCCTCCCCGTGCAATGAACTCTTTGCTGAAGAGGGGAAATAGCCTGCTTAAATCACAAGTGTTACTCCTGGTAACGTTGCTTTCTATTTGTTCTTTTTCCAAAACCAAATGCATTTACCACAAATTGCAGCTCACCTCTGACTGAAACACATTCAAGTGGATGAACACTGTACAATTATACAAATTTTGGACTGAAGGTGAATAATTCTAGCCAGCCAAAATTAAGGAGAGTTTTAGCTACACCTGGCATAATTGCCACTGCTCATACTTGCCCAGGAAACAACCAGTATCCTTCTTCTGAAAATTGTTTGCCAAGTCCTCAGCAAACTTTGGATTTCTTGTTCAGAGACTGGAAAAAAAACTTATTTTAAAAAGTGCTGAACCTGGAATACATTAGCAAAGCATAATACCAGCCAGGTTCTGACTGACTGTCAAATCATGGTATTCTCTGGGGGTTTTAGACTTACTCGAACCGTTCTGACATCTCCAGCTATCTTGTATGTGTATTAATTTGTCCTATATTTGTATTGCTTTCAAAAGTCTGAGTGCTGGGCTACCAGTTGTACAAATGACATTTCTGCAAATCCAATTAAAGGTTGTCTCTGTGGGTTATTCAGAAGAGCTGCTGCATTTCCTTGGCACAGCTGGGAATCCCAGGGACCTCCCAGGGACCACTGCTCCAGCAGGGTGGAGTGCAGTGCTGGGAAGTGTTGGATACTGGCTTGGAAAAGGGTGCCATCTACTGAATTATTGGCACCACTTCTTACAATTCTTACAGGTTCTCTGTGGTTTCCAGCGCTGCACAGTTTATGTGGTGCCATGATAACACAAGACAGTCTGATTGACTGCAGTCAAAGCAATAATCAAAAATAAAGACTGACAAGTCAGGGTATAGCCAAGTAAGGTTTTAAAAAGTTACCTTTGCTTTTTCATCAGAGCCTAAGTATTAATAGATATTGAAAGTCATCCAAGAAGTGCTGAAGAATCTGAGAGGGAATTCTATTTTCTCTTACCTTTAGGGATGCCTGAAAGCCAGGGGAAAGATGGCAAAAGCTCCAGCAGCAGCAACAGTTCCAGCACTGGCAGTTCAGGTGCTTCCTTCGGACAGGTCAGTCCCCTTTGCCCAGGAGGGAAATAGAAGTTTTATCCTCACACTTCTGGAAATCTGCCCTGCATGTTCATTCATTTTAAACTTGGACACAGTAAGGTTGGAATCGTGCTACATCTAATTGTATATTACATTTTTCATCCATGATGGTCTTGGCATGCCTTGCTGTGGATTCTTCTCTGAAGGTTTTTAAATCTCAGAAGTGGGTCTTGTTTTATTCCCTCTTATTCCCAGATGGCCTGGATCATACTTATACACGTTCTCAGTAGTGATTCAGAAAAGCCAACTACTTTCATCTATTAAAAAATTATTTTAAAAAATTGAAAAATAATTCAGAAAAAAAAACCCAACATATCTGGGCTGAACAGAGCTTTTGGTGGTGAATTCTCTTCTCCATGATAGGCATTTATATGTAGTTCCTGAATATGGCACAGGCATGTGCATCCTCCCTTTTTCCTTATTCTTTTTGGTTACAGGCTTGTGTTCTGGAGACAGAAAACAACAAAGTTATTCCTTTAAATTTAAATAGAACCAAATACAAATTAGAGAAGTTTGGCAGGGGTTGGAATTTATACGACACACACACTGTGATCTGCTGAATTGTTAGAGCAGCCAATACATTCATACACAGTACTTATGATTTAGGTGGTAAAACCTCTGTTCTGTCCCACATCAGAGCAGAGCAACACAAGCTTTTTAGTGCTCAAATCCTTACACATACATTTAGGCTTTGCTACGTTTTTTAAATTGCATTTCTACTAAGACAAGCCTAAAGTTACAACACTTTAGGCTTCTGGTGATGCTGGTGTTCTCTAAAGATACCAGTGATGTTGGAGTCATCCAGAGGGATTTTCCCATGAGGGAAAATTGCTGAGCACTCCTCAAGAAATTCCTATTTTGACCGGTTTCCTGAGTTTATATCCTCCCTGCCCTGATGGCATGTGGTGCTAGAGTAAGGTTAATCTTTGCTTTTGTTGGAGTTTTTAAATACACTTTTCTTGTTGGTCGCAGAGATATTATGTTTTGGTTTTGAGAGGTAAAACAGAAGCTTATATGTGTGTTTGTGGCAAGATTGACTAGGATTATTAATCAAAATTAGTTGCTACAGCTCAATAACTGTATACATCAAGAGGGAAAAAAACAATCTAATGCACGTACATAACATGAGGTGTTTCCTTGTCTGTTGTAAACTGATTCTAAAAATGGATCATACACCTCTTGGAAGGACTGGGATAAAGAAATGATATTAGGAGAGTAAGATTTGTCTTACCTTATTTTTGTCAATAGTATCACTACACAGCCAGTGAATACCAGGCCATCCAGCACGCTCTTCGTCAGAGGCTGGGTCCAGATTATATCAGCAGTCGCCAGGCTGGAGGAGGACAAAAGGTAGGAGCACACATGCACAGATGTTTCTACTCCATTTTTTTCCCCCTAGGGTTTAAAAAGTTACAGTATTCCTTATTTTTTTGAAGGTAATTTCCCGCTAGTACTTTAATGTGCAGATATGAATGCAAAGTCAGCATGGCATAAATTCTAACTTCTGTTGAGCCACAGATCCCTTTTACACTTAAAAAAAAGACTTAATTTTTCAGTGCTTCATCCTTTACAAGGGAATGTTTATCTGCTTGTGCAACACTGAGATGTTTTCCTTATTTTTTCCCAGAACTGGACTATATAAAGCATTATATAACACTGGCTGTGTTTTACCATCTTTAGTCTCCTGTAGCTCTGCCTTCCATTAAGTCATATTTGTTGTTATATTAACCTCCATCACAGTTGCTGGAAGAGAGTGAACCTAAAGCTGCACCATCATCCTTTTATTCACATTACCTGAACCTTGAACTTAGCCAGGCTTCCTCAGTGTGAGGTGATGAGTGTAATCCCTCTTTAAAACAAAGACGTGTAGAGATGTGTGCACAGGTCCCTGTGTTTATATGCATATTTATGTATTTATGCTTTTCTTTTCAGGTCTGTTACATTGAGGGTCACAAGGTCATCAGTCTGGCCAACGAGATGTTTGGCTTCAATGGCTGGGCTCATTCAGTCACTCAGCAGAACGTTGGTGAGTGTCTCCTGAGGGCAAAGAAATCTTCCCTCCCCCTTGTTTCACTGTGAAGGAAAAGTCTCTCAGATAAGGGCCAGGGTATCTATCCTAGAACTTGGTCACTCCAAACAACCTGGAGAGAGGCATGTACAATTTCCAGGTGCTTTAACAGTTAGTAAAAATTAGAGAAATTGAATAATAAGGGAGCTTCTGTTTTCTTTTTACATGTCACAGTCATTACTCTGAGGGTGTTTATGATTATTCTGGAGGTATTCTAATCAGGTCTCTGATCTCTATGGGAACACTCAGTCAAGAGTAATTACAATTAAACTATTTAACACCCAGCAGCCCTGAGCCAGCTTTCATACTCACCTGTAATTTTTATACTCTAACCAGATCATATTCTCAGTTAATATTCCCCTAATCTTTAGGGACCCATCTTTTTCTGCAGACTCCTCTTCTAGCTAATACCTAGTACTGAAAGCTTTAGAAAAAATTTTCACTATGATTTGGTGTTCAGGTGATCTTAAAGCTTCAGGCTCTTCCATCTCAATAGCTGAAATAGTACCTACCAGAGAAGTGTTGTTCTTGTTTGCAGATCTGCTGTGCTTATGCTAAAGACTCGTTGTGGAAGTAGGTCAAAGTAGCTCCTTAAAAGTACTTTCTTTCTCCTCCCCACCTTCAGAAATCTTTTCTTAACTCAGGCTGGTAGATTCTAGAAATAGAATAATTTACTTCATTGCTTTCCATCTATTCTGCACCACTTTTTTTTTCCTCTTTTTAGTCAAGAAAGGACTGACATCCTTCAAACTCCTACCTTTTTCAAACAATGCCATAAGAAGTCATTCCTTAGAGATTCAGAGCAAGAGGATTCTGTTATGTTTTAAATTCCTGGGTAGAAAAAGGGGGCTTGCACCTTCAACAGGATTACAAAACAATGAAACAAATAGACCAGATGAGTAGAGAAGGGCTCTTGGACCCCAGAATGGAGTTACCTGAACTCCAAATTTCATTTCAGACACGTGTCATGTTTCTATTAGACTTGCAAGACTGCTAACTAGAGTGCTCTATGTGTATTAGTTAGCATTGCTTTTGGTGTGAAGTAAGGTACTTTAGAGATTATGTCTAAGAGTTGTATTGCAACCTGTTCAGCTCTTCAGGCATTCTGTCCTGGATAAAACACTTATGCAAATTTTTACAAACTGGAAACTTCTGGTACATAATAGGAAAGAAATTACTTGTATAGACTACAGTTTCTTTTCCATTGTTGTTTTTATAAATTAACCCTTAAAATCTCTCCTTCCAGCTGAAAAAAATTGTTATTCTTTGAACATTTAGGATACATATATGAATTATAAGTAACATTTGCAACTCTTTGTTCTTTCATATGTTAGCATTCTCAAGCTACAGTTAATATTTTGTAAGTCATGCTCCATTTTACAGAAGATGATACAGTATCTTAGGAACATTCAGCAAGTATGGTACAGGTTTATGAATGTCCTTAAAGGACAAAAAAAACTAAATGGGGACCAGAAGCCTTTTGTATTATTTAGGATGTTGCTTTTCCCTCCCCCAGACTTTGTTGACCTCAACAATGGCAGGTTCTATGTGGGTGTCTGTGCTTTTGTCAAAGTTCAGCTTAAGGTAAGTGGATTTTTTTTGTTTGCTCTGTCTGTAGTTGAGCAATTTGAAGCTGGGAATGAAAGGTCTTGCACAGGTCAGACTGTGGTCCTGGAGTACTGTACTGCAGCAGGAAATCTAGTGCTGTCCAAAACATGGGCATTGCTATAGAACAACCAGCTAAGAGCAAGTAATCAGGCTTAGGAAAGCACAGCACCTAACAACAAGTGCTGTATGTGTAGAATTTCCCTTATACTTGCTTAAAATTATACTGCAGGATGGGTCATACCATGAAGATGTGGGATATGGAGTCAGCGAAGGCCTGAAGTCCAAGGCCTTATCCTTAGAAAAGGCAAGAAAGGAGGCAGTAACAGATGGACTGAAGAGGGCACTCAAGTAAGTGAAGATCAACACTGGCACATTTTCAGAAGTTATGTGAGAATGAAATGTTATTTTTCAGTCACAGTGAGCTCTCTTGTTTCTCAGGTGCTTTGGGAATGCTCTTGGGAACTGCATCCTAGACAAGGACTACCTACGAGCTGTGAACAAGCTTCCACGTCAGGTGCAGTACACGGGCTGTTTGAGCAGGGACTGCAGAACATCCACTGCTCCTGGTCCTTCACGTTGTAAAGTTTATGGATAGTGGTATCAGTGCATCTCATTCTTGAACGTTACCAGCCTGGAGATCAATAGGCTTTGTAACAAACAGTTCACACAAACCAGCAGGCAGAGTTTTTCCCTGACATTTTACCACAACTACTCCAAATTTTGACTCTTTGCAGCAGACAAGTTTGCTGTGGCAAAGAAAGTATCTGGCTCAAAATCTCCTGTGACATTTATGGCCATGTTGTCTAAATCTCTCTGTTCAATGCCAGTAATCCATCCCTTAGCCAAACTGGCTCCTTCCCAAAAGAACACTGCAGACTATTAGATGCCTCTGTGATAGAAAGGGTGAACTAAACTGTTTAGACTGGACCCACGACAACTTTCAGCTGTTGCCAGTCATTTCAAGGTTTTACCACAGAACAGCAAAACAGGTAACACTGTTTTATTTTGGTTTGTGAGGAGTATACAAATGGCCCTGCAAATGTCCTCTGCCTCACTTCAAATTGAGCTGATAGCTGAGTTTTGCAACTGAATTATGAGAGCGGGATGTACTGGCTTTGGCTGTTGGAGGATGAGGAATAATATTAGGAAGAACTACACTCTTATTTATTTGTGTTAAATACCTGATATGATACTACTGGCAAACTGGCTGTTCCATGTATGAAGAATTAGCATATACAACTGATGTGTACTCGAACACTTGAACTATGGTTCTTATCCTTCACAAACAATAAGAAACCACATTACATCTTGCTTTGCTTTTTGGACTCCTTATGTTTCAGTTTGCAAGGAAAAAGCACTGCAGTTACTTTACCCTCTGTGAAACACTATGTCAGTGAACCTGAGATAACCAGCACTGTGGAGAAATGCCTCTTCTGGAGATCTTTGGTCCAGAGGGACATAAAATAAACTGTGATGTCCATCTTCACCAGTGACAACCATTCTGTAACCCCTTTATTGTGTGCTCTGATGTGACATAACAGTCTTCAAAGTATCCGAGTTGTCCTGGCTGTTCCTGAGGTGGCAGCTCAGTAACCAACATGGATCTTGCCAGCTGGGGGCAGGAGGCTCCTAGGGGGTGACCTACCTTATGGACTGAGGAAAAACAAAGCCTTTTACAACTGCTGATCCATGGAGTTTCATACTAAAGTTTCCTTCAGTCACACTAGGATTTGCCAAACCCCACTAGATGCCCAGAGCTATAAGGTGATTCTCTCTAGCTAAAGGCTGTAGGAGCAGATCCAAAGTGACACCTCACCAAGTAAAGACAGCCCAAATCTCTGCTTTGCCATTGCCAGGGTCACTGTCTGTTAGAGGCATTGCCACAAATTTGTAAAATCACAGAGCCAAAACATCCCATCTTTAATAAACAAGAACGGTGTAGCTTCTTCAGAGGCCTCGTGGTTGCAGAACTGAGTCAAGGTTTGCTGTGCCCTTTCACACAAGTGTGCAAACAGAACTGGTAGAACTGACAGGCTCGGCAACAGCCTCGTGGGTGTCTCTGAGAAGCTGTAAAATGCTGCATCGATCACCTGCACCTGTTCTTGTTTGCAGAGCACAGTGTGGGGAGATAGGGGCTATCTGCCCTGAAGCACCGAGGGATTAAACTAACAAAAAGGCACATGAATTCGGTGATTAACTAACTGAATTACTGAAAAAGCATTTCAGCTTTCTAACTCACTGGTCGACTTGGAGCAAACAAAATAGATTTTAACGGCCTGTATGGAAACAACCTGTGCTTATTTCATTAATTGGATGATGGAAATTTCTGAATGTTTTCTCTTTTTTCCTCCTTTTTTAGGTACCCCCTGAGTTAAATTTGGTCACAGCTAAAATACAGGACTATGAGCCTGAAATAGAGAAAGCGAGGTACACCAGCTATTTGGAAAGGCAGAACACAGCAGGGAGACAGCACTCTGAGGTGGCACCTCACTGGGAGCCTGGTCAGAGGGAGGCTGCTGTAGTGACAGTAGATCAGAAACAGCCAAATGGTCCCAGGTGAGACTGCTGTTATACATGTATTTTATAAAGTATATTAGAAGTTACTGTACCTTTTAAAACACCTGGACAGCCCAATACCAAAGATGCCTTAAAACACTAGTTCAGTGGATTTTCTTGACTGTTATTTCTTAATGAATTTTTTCTTCATAAAATGTAATTGCTGAAATCCTGTTTGTCCTTGTGCTTGCTGGGGGGGGAGAAGAGACAGGAACACAGACTCCTTGGCTATGGAGTGTGATGCCACTTACCAGCGGAAATTGCGACAGAAGCAGCTACAGCAACAGTTCCGGGAACAGATGGAGAAAAAGCATCAGGTTCCAGCAGTTACTCCCAACAGCAAACAGGGTAATAAGACATGGCATTAAAAACTGGCAGTTCCCATGATAGCTGCTGGCAGGCACACCTTACCTGCAGTAGAGGAGCCTGACCAGCTTCAGGTGCTTTTGTGCTGAGACATCAACACACCTTTTAGGCCAAAGGAAGGAGAATTATCCTCCTTTCCCCCCCCTATGTTCTTAAAGTGGCAGGAATATCAGCTCTAAGCCAGCATCATTAAAACTGCAATTTTCCAGCCAGCCTAAAGCTGTTGTCAGCACCGTTAACCTGCTGCACCCGAGCTGAGGCTGCAGGCAAATATTAACCATTGATATGTTGCCTTTTACTCATGGGGAATTCTGGAACCTGGAGGTGGGGGGAGCAGGCTGAAAGAACCATGTTAAAGTAGCACACTTGCTCTTGTCAGACAGCATCAGGTACAGAATCTTACTGTTTTACATCCTGCTACTAAGTCATAACTAGCTCTAGGAAAAAAGAGGATACCTGGTGCAGCTGCTGGTTATCATTTCAGACTCGTGCTCTGTTAAGAAGAAGCAAAGGGTTCTTCTGTATTTCTGATATTAATCTCTTCTTGTGTTACCTCCTTCCAGCAACATCTGATCCTCCCATAAAGCACAGCACTCCAGCAGTACAACAGGAACTAGCAATAGAAGAGGAGTTCTTTGCAGGTCAGCCAAAAATTGACAAGTGTTAAATCATTAGTATTTAAATCAGCTCTTCAAAATACAATGTAAAGGTAAAAGATCTGAAGAATTGGAATAACAGAAGTGTAAGTGTGAGTCTAATCTTAACAATACAAACTTTGCTTAAGTGGCAGGGAGATGATGTCCATCACTATGAGGGGTTTTCCACTTAGGCTCCTGAGTAGAGTTGTTATATTTATTTGGTAAACACTTTTCTTGAGGTGATACTGCACAGAAACAGATCTTTTCAGGTGGGGTGGGTGTCTTTTCCTAGTATAACTTTGGCTGTTTGTGTCACACTTACACCATGGTGCCTGGACATTGTTTAAGTCCACAGCTCAAGGTGCAGGACCATTCCCTGCTGTGCACTGCCATTAAAAATGCTTTACAGGTTAAATTTTATAGTAGCCACCGCTTGTAGGAAAAGAGTGTGCTGATCTTGGAGTTACTGTCATTCCTGTAGTACAACACTACCGTCGTGGATCACCTTCTCATTCATTCCAGATGATCCCGAACTCTGGGACATTTCCTTGGAGAGCACTGATCTTAAGGTAACAGGTCCCCAGGTGGCAGACCCATCAGCAGCTGGACACCAGACACCTAAAACAGCCCACGGACCTCACCCGACGAGGACCCGTAACCGGACACCTCACAGAACGAACCACCACAAAGCCTCTGCCAGACTCGCACAACTGCAGCCACCTGCTACGCTCACGAGCAACAGCAGTGCCAGCCCAGGTAGGTGCTGCCAAAAATGACTGAGTTCTGTCCTAACAACGGCTCTTGGCTTTGAAAGCAGCGCTGTTAGATTAGTGAAGTGGAGCGGGAGAAACATTCCTCTTGTCTTGGGCCTGGCTGCAGGTGCTGTGACAGCGGGCTCGGAGAACTGTCTGGTTTTTTCCATCCTACTGTCTTATCAAGGAAGAATTAGACAAAGAGTTGAGGAGAGCTTTTAGGAGCGATAAAAAAACATTAAGAAGCTTCCATCTCTCACTCTCTCCCTGTTTGGCAGGGTGCAGCCCCCTCAGGAGAAGTCAGAGCTTGAAGAAAAGGAGACTGGAACCTACGTAAGGCACCCAGTGGTATCCGTACCTCCATCACAGGACTGCAGTTGGCTTTTCAAATTATGTCAAATGGACTTTGCTGCATATTATGGTGAAGCAACAGAGAAGAGTTTTGTACAGCCAGCAAGAACTTCATGTACTTTTAGGTTATTGCATATTTCAGATGCCTTTTTCTATAAACAAGCAATCATTTGTGCTTCTGCAGCACTGGTGGACGGTACGTGTAATTTGCCTGAAACAGGAACAGAATGAATTGTTAAAAATGAGATGCAATTAATAGTTTCTCTCTCTCTCCCTCAGTGCTACAGTTCAGCACAGAGGAAAGAGATTTTTAGTGAAATGGGGAGCAGGTGGGTTACGGTCAGAGGACAGAACACCTGAGCTGTGGCTGCCCATCCGGCGAGGCTGAGGGTGTGACGCTGTGGCAGCATCTGAGGTGCAGCCCAGCCTTTTCCCTGTGGCTGCACAAACAGGGTCAGAGCCCGTCACTCTTCCTCAGCCTATTCCTCAGCCATCCCAGGCAGCAGCAGCAGCACCTCCACTTCCAGCCCTGCCTGTGGCACAGGGCAGGAGCACACCAGGACTGCTGCCAGCACTGTGTGGCATCACAGACAGTGTTTGCTCGGATCCTTTGTGAAATGAATGGGAGCTGCACTTCTGTTTTTAAATAAGCTTTCGACCCTTCTCAATACAGAAATAAACATGAAATTTGCAAAGCAAACCACGCTGGGAGCTGTTTGTGTCTCTGTGCCCTTCCAGCCTTTACAACTCGCTCCCTGTTTGACAGCCTCAAAGGAGTTAACACGTTCCAAATGGAAGCTAAAGAGGAACCACCGCGTCTGCACAGCCTCACGTTTGCTTTAGGATGGGCAAACAGAAAACCTCACAGGGTTTAAAGGTTAGAGCAAAGCCAACAGCTGTTCCTTCTAGTAAGAAGGTCAAAGGAAGATTTTTTAAGTACTATTGGAATAATACTCCTGTATCCATTTGGAGCAGCTCCACGCTGAAAAGGGAGGAGTTCTGCTGGGCTGAACTATCTGTTCTCTTCCTCTATAGTGAAGTGGTTCAGCTGTAGCTCCACCACCAAATCAGGGTTCAGGCACCTGTGCTGGCAGCACTGCTCCAGGCAGGGTGGTTCCACCTTCCCCAGGAGGGAAGCCTGGTACTGCAATTCCCACCTGCAGTGCTGGAAGTAAAGAGGATGATACCGTGTGACTGGAATTTACAGCTGGACCAGGAAAATTTACATAAACCCTGGGATTAGTCCAACCCTGACATCAACATCAGGCTTGAAACAGGACCCTATTCCTGTGCTTTGCCATCACTGCTCTGTCTAAATGTAAACACATTTGAAACATCCAGCATTTATTCCTATTCCTCCTACAGTGCCTTTACCACTTAATCAGTCCTTTCCCCTTAAATATCCTCTACTGTCCACTTACCTCCTCAACAGGACAAGGAACAGCACAGAAAGACAGGACAAGCTGTAATTAATGGTAATAGATTATATCTAAAAACAAGTTGCACATTTCACCGTACTCATTTCTTGCCAATTCAGTGCTGCCTTCGGAACAGCTCAGGGAAGAAACACATTCCACATGTTTGAGTCATGCACTCGCTGCTGAAACCATATACCTGCTAGGAAGGAAGGCAACGTGCAGACATTCAGAATTACTGAATTCAAAGCCGCTCCACACTTTTACAATGAAAAACATTCAAAAGTCTCATATAAACGTAACTGCCTCAGCTTTCTTGACTCTGGAAACAGTGCCAGTGTAGCTGTGCCTCCTCTAAGAGAGATCATCACAAGGAGCCTCTCAGGATTGGTCCCTTTGAAAAGGGCAGGAAAACTTGGAGCTTTTTTCCCTTTGAGGCCTTGCGCAGCATGAGTCATAACAGAAGCTGCTCTTAAAATGGAAAGAAATGCAGCAGCAATTAGTGTTTAGAAATACTAAATTCCTGCAAGTCTATAGTTGAGAACGACCCTGTGAAGCATTTCCACAAATCTAAGGATTGAATTCCTGTTATAGAGCTCAGCGAGTTCCTTCTCCCCAGCCCCACAGGTGCACATCCCTGCTCCTGTCCACCCCAGAGCAGAGGGCAGGGGAGCCAACAGAGGGAGAGTCCCCAGGAAGGGCTCTCCCCCCTCCCTTGCAGCGCTCTCCACTCTTGCTTCACTGCCAAAACCAAGCACAGGACCTCACCAGCGATGCTCTCTCCACCTGTGCTTCCGACAGGGGAGCCACCAAGTTCTTGTCTGTCAGAGCTGAGGGTGTTTGGCAAGTCTGTGACATTCCCAGCCATAAAGGCAGTCCCACAGCTGATCCATTATCCTGCACAGCTTCTCCCTCCCACTCCCTCAGGCCACTCCTCTCCTAAAGATTCATTCTACAAATTATTCCTTGTAGTACCTTGCTTTGGAGTGTCCTATTAAAGGCCAAAGGCTCGTGACTGGTCACTGCTTTTGAGAAGTGAAGGGTCCCATTAAATTGGGTTTCTTGTACTTTCCTGTGATAAACTGACAAACTGGGTAACAGTTCCATCACTGCAGGAAGAGGATGGAAGGGCTGGAACCTGCTTTTCAACAAGAAATCCCGCAGCTCAACAAAAGCAGGTTTGGTTTATTTGAGTGGCTTCATTCAACAGTTGGCAAAGGTGACAAACTGGAGCACAGGGCGCAGTCGTACGAGAAGCGCAGTGCCTGGGTTTAGTGCAAAACATACGACTAACTACGGCCAGGGAAGCCCCAAGTTTCAATTCATTTTATTTTTTTTTATTTTTATTTTTTACAGTGTACATTGTTAAATAATGTAAAGAAAACGCTTGTAATTCAGAAACAGATTTTATGTGGAAAAAGATACTCAAAGTGTAATATTAAACAAAATAATTTAACAGTTCAGTAGCATTAGTTTATTCCTCTAGACTTCAGTTATTCATCCACAGGAGGAGAGGGAGGGAGGGGGAAAAAAAAAAAAAGAAAATCAATGGTAAATAAAACCAGTTCTTGCATAACATTAAGTGAAAAAACGACCTCAAAACTTATTAGATCAAATTTAAATAACCACGTGCTGCATCCAGCTGACCAGTTCCAATGCCATGAATATTCCCCTTGTCTCATTACTGCCTCAGGTTTGTCACCGCTCCCGTTTCCATTGGCCATGCCCAAGAGACTCCTCTGCATCTATCCCTGCAGATGGAGGAGCAGGTGTTCCCGTTCTGCCTCAGCCGCCGGGACGCTGCCCTCCGCCCTTCCAACACACCCCTTGAGCCTCCTCTCTCTCCCCCTGCAGCTCCAGCCTGCACCTGCTACACAGAACCAACCGGCCTCAGGGCCCAGAGCGGCTCCTCTCCAGCCTGGCCCTGCTGCCAAAACTGCTGTAAAACAAGCGACAGGAACGGAACGGACCTCACACATTTCTTTGTAAAAGTGAGAACATCCACAGACACAAAAACTCCCTAATAAGGCTCCGGGGGAGGAGGAACAGCGCTCCTAGAAAACAGTGTGGGCAAGTAACATCCCTGGTGGTGCACCAGCTTCCAGGATACTGGTGAGCTGCTCCCAAGCACTGGGAAGCAGAACTCTCATCCTTCACAGCTTTTTGCAGCACTACATAAATACTGGCAGGTATTATTTTGACTTTGAAGAGGAAACCAGTATTTCTTAAATATATAAAGGGAGAATGACCAAAGCAGAAGATACAGTATAGGTACTAAGAGGTGACAGATAGTGACAGTCCTGGTACCAGCTTGAAATTTGTTAAGAGTGAACAAAATTGTAAATCCTCCAAGACAGACAGAGGAAACTTCTTGATGCCGGCTGTTTCAAGTACATCCATTGCCGGCAATGGACGTTGCACCAGGACAGTCTGTTCCTGGCTTAAATGAATTTTACAAAAAAAAAAAAAAAAAAAAAAAAAAAAAAAAAAAAAAAAAAAAAAATTTTTTTTTTTTTTTTTTTTTTTTTTTTTTTTTTTTTTTTTTTCAAAAAAAAAAAAAAAAAAAAAAAAAAAAAAAAAAAAAAAAAAAAAAAGGTAAGAAAAGCAATCCCAGCAGACAAACCCAACGAGCAATGGCACCTCTCCCTCAATCCACATCCTGACCAAACATCTTTACCACTTCGCAGGTGGAGTCAAACTGCACCTTAAGTTGGGCCTTTCCCAAAGATACACGTTCTCCCCATCCTCTCTCCGCTTCTGATCCAGACCTCCTGCCGCCACAGACAATATTGGTTAGTCTCGTTTTAGCTTCACCCGCAACCCTCCGTCCCTCCCCCACCTGGCCCCTGTCACACCAGCAACTTCAGATCTGCCCGCCTGGACAAGCTTCCCCGACACACAGAACGTTGTTCCAACCCGCGGCCTCAATGACTTCCCCCTCCACACACCTACTCCGAGCGGCACCGGGACCCGGAGCGTCCCGGGCGCTGGGTACAAACAAAGCCACCCCTCACTGAACATGCCCTCAGCCCACCTGGGGTCTGCTGGGAAGACGACGCTAAACTGCAGAAGCAATAGAAGTCCAAGGCACTAAAATATCCAGCAAGCATACTGGGAGAACAGACAAGTATTCAAGTACATTAATTTATACAATTTTACATTCACATTTATTTATCTAATACAATGAAAATACAAAGGAAAAAGTTAAAGTGTCTCCAATAAGTATAAGGATATAGCTAGCTTTTTTTCCCATTTTTTCTTTTTAACTTTTTAACCCTCTATATTCCACTCATTTTTAAACTACTGTTGTCCAACAACATTTATATATCACAGTGTTTCCACATCAAAACTGATGGTAAGTACATGTCCGCAGGGAACTTTTAAATTTTTTTTTTAACAATTTAAATTGCTCTAATGCTGCAGTCAAAGCTGTTAATATCTTACTTAAAGCAGTAATGACCTATCAAGCACGGGCTGCACTGCAAGTCCATTTGTGTGCCCCATCTTTTCAGAGCCAGATATGATTGACCGGGGAGAGGGAGAGGAGGGGAATTTGGACAGCTTTTTTCCTGATCTTGGTTCTTCAGGGAGAGGCGAGAAGCATGCTAAAGCCTCATGCTAGGGTTCAGCTCTCCCACCTCAACACATGTGGATTCAGCTTCAAACCAGAGAAAAAATTTACAGCAAGACTGTATTAACTGACCCCATGACTCCTCTTCACAGCTCTTGTTCCACACAAGAGCAGGACCCCCTCGGTGAAAAGCACTGTCCCATCACAAGGATGCTGATCATCCTCCTCCCCCTTCCAAGTGTGTGGGGAAACCCCCTTTACAGAGAGTTGACAGCAATGGTTGGAAAAGATAAATTCATTCCCAGTCTGGCAAGCTACCAGTTCATTGCAGCACTAGTAGTTGATACAGGGCCCCGTTTCCCTCCCCACGTCCTGTCCCGAGGTCTCGCCAGCGTGGTCTCCGAGCAGGGCTAAGTGGTCCGCAGGTTGGAGCCAGGAGGGTTGCTGACCGACTTCTGCAAACTGCTGATGTTGAAGCTTTGCAAAGAGGCGGCACCTACGGGCTGGAACTGGCCGAGCGGTGGCTGTGCTGGACCGCCCGCCCCACTCCACGGAGCGGGGAAAGACGCTGCTGGATAACCGTACGGCTGCGGAGGGCATATAGGCTTTGTGAAGGGACCTAAAGAGGTAGCTGATGCTGCAGGGATGGGCGTAGCACCCAGGGAAGATGTCATAGAGATACAGAGCTGACCTGGTGCCGAGAATTTTCTTGCCATTCCAGGGGCCTGAAAGAAAACCCAACCACCAAGAGAAGTTACGTAACTGTGCTTAAAAACCACCAGTCCACCCCTCGGTCCACAGGCTGTTCCCAGTGAGTGTTTACAAGGACAAGCCATGGCCCCCTCCTCTTCAGTTACCCCCTTCCCTTCCAGAGCAGGAGATACATCCTGCACAGAAGGAGTCAGCTCACAGTTTCCCAGAGCACTTGTCCCAGCTGCACAGCAGTTGTGCTCCAGCCGTGTTTGAAGCCACAGCAACAACCCCACAGCTTCCCACCACAAATGCTCATGGATCACATCTTACCTCATAACTACTATGCCCTTTGCCAACTTTCTTGCCAGACAGGTTCATGGCATCCCGGGCCCAGTTATCGACCAGCTTGTGCAGGTCATCTGTGAAAGTCCCTTTCCGGCTCGAGGCGATAGCAGTGGGCTGGGTCTGGGGGGCTTGGCTGTTCACTGCAGCCCCGACTGTGTTAGTGCTGCTGGTCCCTACAAATACAAAAACCGGGAATCAAAACTAAGGTTAAAGATCATCTTCCTCTCGTGCATGAAATAACTGTGGTAATGGTACACCAATAGAGAGCCAGTTAAAATGCCATGCAGATTAATTCTAAGTTTTGATTCCAGGACACACTGAAGTGGGAACTACAAGGACTCCTACAGGCATTTTCTCAGATCGAGAGTATTTCATAGATATGTTTATTTTGCTAGAAGTGCTGCAAGTGGTCATCTTAAAAGGGGAATGGTAGCAGCCTACAGGTCTTTGTAGAGGAAAAAGGACATTAGATTTCAGCACTGAATCACAGTACATGAGGCACATTGCTCTCTCATCCTAAACCTTTTAATTAGTAGCAACCACTATTGGCACAGGTCAATTCCACCTTGGGGGACAATGCTGGATGCTGAATAAGGAGCAGTAAAATCAGCATTGCCAGCTGCTCTGTAGCAAATTATCTCCACTTTGTAAAATGAAGAGAAAAATTCACCCAGTTTACATACACACAAAAAAGAGACAGAGTAAGAAACAGCAACTGTTGTTTCCAATAGCTGCCATACTTATGTTCTTGAGGATAACCAGATGGGGCTGTCTTAATCCACCAAACAGCCAGGATCAGCAGGGGAAGTCTGCACCGCATTAAATTTTGCTTTTTGCCTCTGAAAGCATTTTTTTGCCATTATGTTCAGATTTCCTATGTCAGAAGAATAAGCATTTCAGATGCAAACAACTAACACAGCTTAAAGAAGGCAGGAGTGAGACTACTTCCTCAGATAAGCTTTGACAAGTTTTTCTATTCACTGCAAGAACACAAAACCCCTTCAAATAAATACCAGGTTTCGGTTCTGCTGGAAAGCTTGTTGAACATTATCCTGTGGGGGGAAAAGCACTCTAGAAGCTTTGTTTTAGATAGCCTCACTTATAAACAACAAACTGCACTCAAATTTCAGTTTTTCAAAGGCAGACCTCATAATAGGAATCAAAGAAATTGCATATGGCGCAGAATCCTAAATTCCCAGCAATATTGCAAAGCATCCTCATTTACAGACGTGGAAGTGCTGGTTAACCACTAGGGCACACTCAACAACAAAATCAGCATCAGCAGTGCTAAAGCCAGCACTGCTTGCAAGCACACATCCTCACCTACTTGGTGCCTAAAGATCCTCAAACATTTCTACTTGCTCCCTCTGGAGACTGCAGCTGGGAAATCCATGAAAACCTGCATTTATGGCAGGCATTTCTGAGAGGAAAACCGATTTAAAAGTGGAGCACCAGAAATGCCAGCAATGAACATCACGTCTCTACTGCAAAGGCCAAATGGTGGCATCGCTGTCTCTTGCCTGACAGCTCCCTTCGTCTGTTCCACTGTCCCTGGCTATCAGCCACATTCCTTGCAACTGCTGTATCAAAGAAAGAACTGGTTCCAAACCTCTGCAGGAATGTTTCGTATCGAGGAGTGAATTAGGAAGGTGAGGTACTTACTATGCAGGACAAATAAACAAAGTGTTACTGCCTCTAGTAGTGCTGAGGAGGGAAGGATACGTATCCATCCCACCAGTCCCAGCTCAAGCACGGAAGTGGCTCCCAGTCTGGGTGCCCCCAGGTGGGGCAGCAGTTGTTAGGGGCAGGCATGCAACAGTACACACGAAAAGGGAAGAATAAGGTTCCCTGAGCAGGGAGTGTGGCTGCAGCACGGATGAAGAGCAGCAGGAACACATTGTACGGTGCAAGGAAAGTCTGCAGTGAAGTAACAAGAACCTGAAGCATGCATCATGTGGAAAGGGCTCTGAATGCAATTATTTAATAAGAGCAACAATGTGAAAGGTGAAATTAAAGACAAATGAGGTAAAAGCGAGAAAGTACTTGGGGGAGGGGGAACGCTGCCAAAACCAGTAATCATCACATTCCACCATGAGAGTTCATGCAGGGATTGACACACTTGCTCTCATCCTCTTCCCGATGGCCAGCATCTGCTTTTGATATTTCACATTTCCACTTCAATCACTAAGTACACTGGATCCTGGACCTACACTGGAGAGGTTCCTCAGGCCACGGAAGGGAGAGAACTAATCAAAGCACATGCTACAGTGTGTTCAGCTGAAGATATGAAAGATCAGTTTGGAAAGTTTAAGTGTTTTCAAAAGAAATGGATTGGTTCAGTGTGAGAAAGGTGGGAGGCTGAGAGAGCTTTGTCTGCAAAAGTCATTTTGTTAGGGAGCTCCCATCTCAAGTCACAGATATACCAGGTTAGAGCATCATAGCTGAGCAACACAATTACTAAAGCTCTCATGTAATGTCAATTCAAAAAAGGACTTCTCAGGAATTTCCCATTTTAGCTCTTCCACAGTCACTGCCTGTAGAAACTGCCATCCAGAAGAGTCTGAAAAGGAAGTGCTTCAATTTGTAGCATTCAGTGGAAACAACCCCCCACATTCCTGCTCGGTCACAGCAGCCGTCCCCAGTTCTGCTCTGACATGGAGGATCTCAAGTGAAACAGGCTCCTCTCTCCCCAGCCCACTACCTACATGCCTTCATTCAGCCCTTTTATTCCCCCCCCCCATTAAAAACCAGTCAAAAGACACCTTTAAAACAGTCTTAAATGACATGAGCACACACAGGCTTCTAAACATCTCTTGCTTTGGGAGACACACTAGAGATCTCTACTCTCTTATGCTTTTGAAATGTTGAAGAAGTGTCTGCAATTGGATCCATCACTGAGGTGACAAGCCCCATTAAATCCCAAACAAAGCAGCTGCTCTGTGGTACAACTCTAGCACATTACAGTGAGCAACTGACCCTGACACTAAAGCTGCTCTTGTTAGCGATGGGCAGAGCTCCACAGTGAAGGTGAGGTTCTGCCTGCCTCCACTGGGCTGCAAGAGCAGCAGCCTGACTACTCAATATACTAATGACAGAGTACACATCAGAGGGCATAACACAGACAGACAGATGCTGTGCTGGAGACAGAGTCAGGGACATAGGGCTTCAGTGACCAGGAAAAGCTGATGAATAGCTTTACAGTCAGCAATCGGAGATAACAGAGATAAGATAATTACTACAGAGCTGGTTGCAAGGACAGACTTTTTTCACCATCTTCCCTGAAGCACAAAGAGAGAGTAATTTGTTAAAGATAAGAGAAACAGTGAGAAACGTTTAGTATCAGGAAGCATTACAAAAAGCTTGGTGAGAAACAGAGAACACAGCACAGCAGGGCTCTTGCAGTCACTACTAGGACATTCTAGCAGAAACCCAAAGACTGGTCTGATGGTTTAATCAGTTGTACTTTCAGAAAGAAAAGAGGCCCAGCCTCCTATATTTATTCTTCATAATTCCCAAACTATAGTGAAGAATGTCAGGAGACATTAAGGTCACAACTGGTTCTTATCAGAAAAGGAAAAGCAAGTACATCTTCCATTTTTGTCAGGATGTACAAAGCATTTTACAACTATCAAAGTTTGACCAGCAACATAAGAAAGATTTATTTGATAGGTCAAGTGCTCTTAGTTTGTCACCCTATTTTATCAGATGTGTGAGAACAGTTCAGACATTCCCTGCCAAGCTGTACCACTCTGTTTCTCCAGCTGCACAGTTAAAAGCATCAATCACTGCACTGTTTCCTCAAGACCGCTGGTTCTAACCCAGCATCTTCTCCAGTTGTCACTCTCCACAGCAGTCTGCAACAGCATTTCAAGGACAAGACTCCAGGAAACAAGCAACCTGCAGTAAGCCAAGTGCCAGGCCAAGCTGTGCCATGCCAAGTATTACCTGCTTTTACAGGACAGCTACAACACTCTTTTCAACAGGAATCTGTTTCCCTCAGCACCAGTCCCAAAAGTAGGAGACACACATGCAAAAGTACTCTTCTAGCTAAATGACAGTCAATTTGTAGTCAAGGTCTTGTAAGTAAATTATACTCTGATATATTTAATTCATTGCCAGTTTTAGAGACAGACTGGCTGTTCCTCATATTCCCTACCCAAAAAGAGGACAGGCCGGACTACAGATAATTTTTAAAAGTTAGCTTTGGTAAGAATTTAACTTCTTCCAAGAAAAGAACCATAAATTTTGACATTGCAGATGTCAGTCCACATCTGCACATTAATATACCAAGCAAAAACATTTAAAGATGCTCAATTTGAAAAATGAACTACCATTAGTGCTTATATCCCAAATCCAATGAAGCGGGATAGAATTATCATCGCAAAACTCAACAGCTTAGTAACAAGTCTCCCCTCCCTCTGACTCCCTCCCTTTCTCAGGAGGATGGAGCTGGTTGCATTGCAGCTGTCTCTGCAGAAGGCCAGGCCCAGTTCCCACACACAGCTCTGGCTCAGCTGTGCCACTGCCGACCGTAGCGAGACAGATGGTGCAGATGTGTGGTACTGCCATGCAGAGCAGCGACTGAAGGTCTCTTCACAGCACTTAAAGCTTTCTCATATCAGGTCATTCCAGAGGGTGGGAAACAAATGTCGGGCATTTAAAGGGTCTAGACTGCAGAAGCAGCATAGGAAGTGTTGCAGCACTCCCAATAAAAAGCATCACATCAGCAGCTCAAGCGTATTGTTATTTCAGCCACATCAGAAGTTTGAGGCTCTCTTGTAAGTCTGGCCTAACGTAAGCACAAATGAAAGGATTCTGAAAAGAGCCGCAAGGTAACTCCTGAGACAGAATGTCTGAAGATATCTACTTAAATAAATGTCTATTTACCATTTTCACTGCTATTTGTTGCACATTTAATATATGTCCAATTCCCAGTAAAAATTTCTAAATCTGGGCCCATTAGTAGGTAAGGATCTTTTGAGTTTGCCTGGAAATATCCTCTAATTATTTTTAAAACCCTCAGTGCTTCCAGCTTTAGTTATCCATCTGCTGATTATCAGAAGAAGTCAGTGCTAACTGCCTACAGGTGGCATCAATGCTCTGCACTGTCATCAGCACTGGTGCCGAGGACATGCGGAAGCTTGTCCAACTTGCACTGTGGGCACACTGCTGGAGGAGGGCAACATATTCCCCCCACCAGTTACTGCAGTGTCCAGCAAAGGCATAATTTGAAAAACAAATATTCCTCACTCTTTCAGTACAAAGATTACCTCCCCTACAAGTCTCCTGCCACCTAACGTATGCTGAAGAAAAATTACTGAGGCAGGCCAAAATAAAATGCCCATGCACCTGTACCTTGCTAACTCTCCCCAGCTTGTGTCACTTCACTGACCTGTCCTGAAAGTTTCCACTAAAGGTTCTTAGAGAAAATGAGAGCTTGTGATCATGAGTTTAACAACAGAGAATACCTGACATGAGAACCCAAACTTCTAAAGGCGTGCTAAGAGCAGCTCAGCTGAGCCATGGCATGGGAGGGAATACAAGGTGGTGGATGAGAATGGGCTGCATGAAACAGATCCAAGCAGCAGAAACAGAAACCAAAAAGACAAAACAAAAAACAGACAAGGAAGGAGTAAAGGTGTTACACACAAAGAGCCAAGCAGGGCGTACTCAGAAATCGGGTCCTCCTGCCACCAGGCTTGAACGTCACTCTCTCAGATGCACAGTTAAACTTCGCACAGCCTGTGAGAAAACAAGAACGGGAAGAACAGAGAAAGAAGAGACAGAACACCACTACAAGATGTTAGCAACTTGAAGTTGGAAGGGTGAAATGCATTAACATGACACACAAGAATAAGTCTCAAAGTGTGGACCAAAGAGTACACAGACAATATACGGAGTGAAGGGACTCCTTCCAACACCTCCAGACATTAAGCCAAGCTTGCAGTGTTGTTCTCCAGTACATAACCCAACAATAAGGTTGCAATCTATAGGAAAGCCAAATCCTGGCAGAAGTGTCCAATTCCAAAATGGTACTGCACAACTCTAGATACAGGGAGATGATTCAAGTAGCTCCAAATACCTGAAACAGTTCTTTAAAAAAACCTTTACAGAAAATTCTTCCATAAAGTCTGCTTCCATTTTCTGCCTGTACTTCTCCAGTTTCAGCAAAAACACACATTAGAATTGATGTAATCAATCAGTCTATAGCAAAGCTTTTCAAAAAGATGTGCAAGGGGGAAAGAACCTGGAACGGCTAAGTTCAGAGAAATAAAGGAGTCATCCCCTTAACGACTGGCAAGTAGAAAAAGCCCTTCCTACCAAATAAATCAGAGCTGTGCCTGAGAAATTATTTGATAACGTACTAATAACAAGCAATCCATGATCCAAGTAACCTGAGTAACCTGAGTAAATGAAAAATTTCCTATTCCCACCATTTCATCCTCCTACACTGACTCTTCTTTCCAGGATAATTTTTTATCTCACAATTGAAGAACATGAGCCTTTCTTTTTTTTACCTTTTACTGTTAAAAATTCCACTGACAGAAACAGGCAAAGCAGTTTGGAAGTCTAGAAGGACTCTGAGTCTTCAGAAATTTTCTTCAGAAATTTCCTACTATTTTAGTTAATACCAAACCTGCTCTGCCCCTTCCTTAGTCTAACTTCTCATTTCCAACCTGTCTCCTCTTCCCCTCAGCCTATACCTTTCCCACATGTCAGCAGAGCATCACTTGCCACCACCCCACTGCACTCTTTTGTTCCTGGGGCTCTCATTACAGCAGACAGGACCTCACACTTCACCTGTGTGAGCAGCTAAAAATCTAGGTGCAAAAACCAGCCTTATCAGCCTTCACACATAGGCTGGGGACTCCAAAACTGCTTTACACCATATACTAAAAATCAAGTGTTATGAAGTGGATCACTCATTTCCATTGCTGATTACATTAATTTCATTTAGAGTCTTACCTTGGCCCGGTGCCGAAAGGCTCGGTACCGACAGGGCACCATCACTGGTGAAGGCAGAGTAGAGATTTTCACTGGAAGGTGAAGGTTTGAGGGGCTGCAACAAATGGTTCTGCCCGATCTCTGGCACACTGCCGGGAGGATGAAGGGTCTGCTGAGGGGGCAAGACTGATGGTGCACTTTGAGCTGACAGATTGCCTAGAGTTGAAAAAAGGAAGGCAAATTGTTTTGGTCTCTCCACATCATTTTCAAAGGTTCTGTCATTGTTCCCAAGGGACAGGGGGAAAAAAAAAAAAACAGAGGAAAGTTTGACTGGAACAGTTACTAATGGAAAAAACGTGTATCATCTTCTGGTCAAGCATGAGAATTCAGGCAAGACAGGGAAAGGCAGGGGGAGAGAACTACTCCAGTTTCTAAGAAAGCAGTAAGACCAGAAAAATTCTTCAGTTTTAAAGACAACTCTGTTCTAGTTCACTGTCACGTGCTCACATAGAGTTCCCATATCATATGACAGCACAGAAGTGAACAGTCAGGGTGACTGGACACAGAAACTGCAGCATGACGTGGAATTACTGAAGTGAATATGCAAGAAGCAGTAATAAATATTTCTGCTCACAGTGCTGGCCCTCCAATACTGTTTGCTCATCCTACAGGCTTTGAGAAACATCTCCAATTACCCAGCAAGCATCTGACATCAACGTCATTCAATCAGTAAACAGAACTATTTTCTGAGTTTCGTTTATTATAAAAATGGTTTTAGTCAGAAAGGAAGCCTTGCCAATTCTCAATTTGTAATCACAGTGAGGCTGCAACTCCATTAAAAAAAAATATCACTACTTTAACATCCCTCGACTGTGACTAAGTTTCTACACTGAAAGGACACAAGTAATACCACGCTTAAGTGATACTAAAGTAGAAAAAAAATCTCTGCAGATGACTGAAGAGACCAGCCCCATTCTGTAAAATCAGTTTCAGGAGAGAACAAGAACAGTTTATCTTTAAAAAACAAAGTTTTCCCCTCATACTGTAAATTTACACTTTTCTTCTTAGTCAGAGCTCAATGACTAATCCGTAAAAAATACAAACCACAACTTTAAAACTGCTCTTACAGAACCATGTAACAGTATCTTTCAGTGGACTGAAAAAGTCACAAGCAAGACTACCAAATAGCACAAGTAATTTCAAAAACAATAAAGAAATTCAGGGAGAAACCAGTGCACACAGACCCCCTCAAATGAAAAGACAGACACACAAAGATCTAAGAATAAGAGATGGTACTTTCTCTCTTTTACGTAGAAAAAAAATTGAAGAAAGTCTTACCTGATAGCTGAGGGCTTTTATGTCCCTGGGAGCTGCTACGACTGGATTTGCTGCTTTTTCCTTTAGTAGGTCGTCTCCTTCTTCCTGAAAGGGGTGCAGCTGGGGGAATAATTACTGCAGGTGGGGCCTTTCCCAATTTCATATACAGTGACTCAATCTCCTGCTTCTGGCGACTCTGTAGCTCCTGGATCTCTTTAAGGTGCCTAACACGTTACAAAAGAGAGTGACTTACAAAAATGCACACAATTCCTCCCCTCCAGTCAAGTCTGACGTGCTTCTTTGGTCAAGCTCTCGTAAACATTTAAGAAAGGAGGAAATAAATCTTTTCCACAAATAGTCACTAAACACATATGGCAGAACACTTGCCATTTTCCAGTGTGCTCTAGCCCTGGCCAGAATTCAAACACAAAGTTCCCAACATTGTAATCATAAAACCAGGATAAGCCGAAGTACAAAAAAAGCATTAAAATGCTACAGGAATAGCTAGATTACTCATTTTCTGAGACATGTGGCCTTGGAGATTTCTACACTGGTATTGCCTTACATTTTGTTTCAGAGCAGTTGCATACATAGGATTTAAAACTGCCAGCTGCCCTAAAAAAAAAAAGTTCAACTTTCAGTATAAATAAATTAGTAGGTCACATTGCTTGTCTTTTAAATTTTTTTTCTAAGCCCACAAGGTTTCTTTAGGAAAAGAAGAACCATTAGAAATGCCAGAAATGCATACTAGAAATGCAGAGACTTGTGTGTTATTTTCAAACAAGACTCCATTATTCCCACTAACTACTAAACGTCAGTGATACGCCAAATCCTCCTTACATCTGCAGTCTTATCCACAGGGCAGCTCTCAGTCTACATACAATAAGGTTACAGGTTAGGAAATTAAGCACAGCAAATACGTATATCCCTTTTTTGTTGTAACCGTGTACTGCTTTCCCACTACAGAATCCTACTTGCCACATAAACACTGACAATGACTCCTGACACTTGGCAAAGGTTGAGCCTTTTAAAGAAGTCTATTTTTGTTCTTTGTGAATAGGAAAGTATAGGGGAAATTCCTATTTTATACACAAAGAAAAAAGCCTTACTTCTCCCGTAACCGACGGAGTTCCAATTTCAAGTCTTCATCTTCAATATCTGACTCGTTGTCACTGCTCATGTAGGAAGAGTTGAATGAGTTGCTAAGGCTCTGAACAGGGAGGCTGATCTTTGATCCCAGGTGCTGGAGAGAGTCTGGGCTCCCTGAGCCATCATCCAAATCCTTAGCCATCCCACTTAAGAAGGCGGCCTCCGGATCAGAGGAAGGACCATTCATGTGTGGGGACTGCCTCGACTCCAACTCTTTCTTCGGAGCTGCAGCTGAAGAAGCAACTTGTTCCAAGCCCACAGAGAGAGGAAGAGTCATTGGCTCTTTCTCTGCACAGCTGACCTCATCCTGAGTCTTTGACACTGAGAAGCGGCCAACTTGATCCGTTGTTGTTGTCACCTGAAAGCGCCCAACCTTAGTAGCCTGACCAACATCTCCCGGTAATTGCAGCTCGGGATCTGTCTGAGGAATGCCATCCACCACATCCAAGGAAGCACCAGCAACAGCCCCGCTTTTCCGACTGCCAGCCTGTTTTACCAGTGTACTCTCTGGGCTACTGCCAGAAAGAGATGAAGAATCACTGGAGGTGGTTTCAAATTGCACTGGCTTAGTTTCAGGTTTGTCACCCTCTTTTAGCGCATCATCCACTGCCACGGATACCTAGAATAGAAATACAAACATGCAGACTTTTTGGTTTTTCCTTAATATCATGCTTTTATTTACTTTAATAGTAAGATACATCTGAGAGGGGAAAATAACTCATTTCCTTGGTATGCCACAAAGCAAGCTACCGTTTCCCTGCAGGCAACAACACATTGCCACACAAAATAGTACTTCCGAGCATTCTGGAGGATTAACTCCAAGACACACAGCAGATTCAGATGGGGCTTCCTTCACCAGCAGGACACAATACAGTGAACACCCCAGCACTGTTAGTGAAAGAGCAGCTGATATTAAAGACCAAAGCCTGACATGATAAAACACTGTATTTACAATTCCAGACCTGCACAGACTAGTGCAATCTCTGTCCCAAATGAAAACAGCATCTGCATGAAACGCAGCGTTCACAAGCTCTATGTGGGCATTCTCTCCCGACAGCGAAGTCCAGCACAAGGAACACTGAGCTGGCACGGCACAGGAACTGCTCAAAGATCTGGATCAACAACCAAGTGAGCTGAACATCTCCTACCTGAAACCGCCCCATCTTCAGGACACTGGCTCCTGCTGTGGTAGCCACAGCACTGCCCTCTCCATCACCTGATGCTGAAGCTAAGGAAAAGGAGAATGGGATTAACAGGAAAACAAGCAACAAAAAGAAATAGTTGGAGTTCAAATAATTTAACTCAACTACCCATGAACTCCTAACAGGCCTTTGGATTCATAGCATCATATGAATATTAAAAAGTTAATTATTAATGTTAAGTTGAAGTATTTTTCTACAAAGCTTCCATGCTCAGTGTATTTGATGAAAGCGCACTTTTAGGTAACAGTAAAAAAGCACACTAATTTCAAAAAAGGAATGTGAAATAGACAAATAATTAAAAACAGAACCAAAATTTATGCAAGAAAAAGCTTATTTTAATTCAGTACCCACACTGACTACCTACATTTCACAAATAGTGGGGACAATTCATTAATAGAAAAGCAGTAAGTTGAAGAAATGCTATAAACCACATTTACTTAAAGCAGTCTATCTGAAGCTTTTAGAGCTGGATTCTTAGGTGTCAGCTCCTAGTTTTGTTGCTCTGTGCACTGGCAGTGTAAGGTTACAAAGCTGAGAAATAACATTCTATTTTTAAATCAGTTCTATTGGACAGCTTGCTCTGTTTATTAACCAACTTCCCAGATAGTTTACTTGTACCTTCTAAACTTTAATAGACAAAATCCAACTCATTTTATTGCAGACTAATGGGTTCTACAGTATACTACACCAGCAACATACCAAAATGGTATATTTTATTTTACTACAGAGTTTTTGAAGGTTTGTCACTAAACTTCAGAGGCACATGCATGTTAAATAGTGTTTATTAGATAGTCTGAGAAATAATTTCAGCACCATATTAACAGCTTCTTTTAAAAATGGAAGACTTCAAAAAATAAAACAATAAGGTGAATACTGACAGGAAAGTCTCAGACTATTTTGCAAATGTTTGGATTCCACCCTGACAACTGAATTCATTTAGATTTGAAAGTCATTGATCATCCAGACAACCTTCAGTTGTTCTAAAGCATCCAGAAGGAAGTCTGGTTTTCCTACTATCTTCCTTAATTTTTAGTAGTTTAACCTTCATTTCTCTATTTGAACAGAAAGGAAACACTCTCAGGTTAGGGAGAGGTACCCTACATGTAGAACACAGTGTGATGACACTACATGAGAAGTCTTAGTGTTGTCGTCAGGAACATCACACACGACAGAAAGTTCCTTCAAGTCCTCAAGCTGTACCTTAGCAGCATAGTGGAGATTCTTGGTGAATCTTAATTTAGCATTTTGGACAGCTTTAAATCCTAAATGAGTTACTACAATCCACATGTATCATCCCCTCTCCCAGCCTACAGGGGAAAATTTCAGTCTGGCTACTAAAAACTAATACAATCCCCTTAAAGAACTGCCATTGCATGACTTGCTAAAAAAGGCTACAACCTTCCAAGTTGCTAGTCTGTCCAATTCTGGATTATATCTCCATGCTGAGAAACCATCTAAAATAATCATGGCTGTCTTACCATCCTTCAGAGACTGTGTTGCTGTGGACACCAGCCCGGTAACCGTCGTAGATGCTACTGAGGGCACAGACTACATGTTCAAGGGGGCAAACAAAATAAAATTAAAATAATCAATGGTTTGATCGAATTCCAACAAATCCAACACACAGCATATTACATAATCTTTCCTTTCCAGCAGAGATAAAGTATGACCCATGGAAAGACAAATGCAAGAGTTTTTAACCTCCAAAGCAAGCAACATCAGCAAGAGGTTTTAGAGGCCTTACAACCCTGAGGCTGTAGCAGAACATTCCCTTTGGCTGTGCAGAAGGAATGCATAAGTAGCCACTTGGAGATTACAATGTCAATCATCGTCTTCATCTAGTATCAAAGTTCATTATCACAGCCTTTGGAAGTTTCAGATCCACACTTAAAACACCCCTCCCAAACTAAGACTGACATATCACATACTGCTGGTTTAGTGCTCTTTCCCCTTACTCCACAGTCGCTTCCCCTTCTAGCTTGGTGACACACATGACATCACCAGAAAAGCTGGAATAAGAACTAATACCAAAAAAACAGCCTCAGGAAATTACATAATCTATTGCAACATACAGATTTTTCCTCCTTTGGTTGACTCAGTCCCACAGACGGGAAGATGACTTCTCATTTTTATTTTTAAAAGTCTAACTACTGGTGTGGTGATATTAAAGGCAGTGACCTAAGAGCACGACCTTGAGGAAAACACTGAGGTTTCTGAAGACTACTAAAGTGCCAACATTGCAAACATACACAGGCAGGAGCAGATGTCACTGGAACGGTCTCTGGACTAAGGGTTCTTCTCAGCTGAGCATCCAGATCTTCCAGTGGCTGCTGGGACTGAGAAAGAAAAGAGTAAAAAGCTGTCCCAGCTCAGTAAAAATACATCACCTTTGAGAAACAGCCATATTTAATACTTAAATTTAAAGCAGTCAGTACGGCTTCCATATTTCTATCACATTTCCTTTCCTACATCTTTATATTTAACATGTATAACACAGAGAGACTGGAAGCAACTTAAGCAACATATTTGTTTGAAAACAAAAAAACACAGAACAGAAAAATTAACTTCCAATAAAAACAAAACAAACAAACAAACCCCACACAAACACCCAAAACCAACCAACAAAAAAACTAACAAACAAAAACCCCCAAACCAAACCGAAACAAACAAAACAAATAAAAAAACCCAATGATGAAACCATAAGTCCCCTCAGAGAGACTATCTGGATGGGTTGGCTTGAAGAGGAGGACAGGAGAGGGGCAGAATCTCTCTCAAATATGCTTATTACTTAGATTCCAGCTGTTTCAGTTGGCATCCAAGATGTTTTTCAAATTTGGCCAATTGAATTGAGGGGGAGAGGAGAAGAATTACCTAAAAATGTCTTAAAGTTTAAAAAAAGTTCAGATTCACTCAAAATTATTAAATTCGGGCCATAACCACAGCATACATATGAAAGAAGAAAGTGTTGGCAGATACCACTAAGTTGCAATTCTGACACTATGGAGTAGAAATTTCCATCCAAACTTTAGTATTAATAATCTTTCCAAGTCTTTTATATGAAAAAAAAAGTCTGTATCTGTTTTTAGAACTGAAGCTGAGGTCACGGCAACATAAAAAAGGTCATTTTCCACTTTTAAGAAACTGAAAGTTAGAGATACACAATAGCATAAAAATGCTTTCAACAGGTTGCCAGGATGACATTCTTCCTGACTTGTGGGTTTCAAAGCGCAACCAAAAATCCTGAGAACAATAAACCAGAACCAATTCCATTAAAAGAAAAAAAAAAAGGCAAAAGATGCAGACTTCTATGACTCCATTCAGAAATCCAAATGCTTAGTGACAAGTGACCTAATTTAATTCAGTACTGTAAAATAAAGAGGACATTTCACCTGAAATACTATATTATTCTCATCACTTATGCTCACAAGAAGATATTTGCTTCAAGTAAACAAAGAGCTATCAGAATGATCGGGAAATGAAGATTTCCTTATGGAACAAGGGTACCAAAATGAAGCTTGAAAAATTAATCTAAATACGCTTTAAAAAGCAATTAAGGAATAAATAGAACAGGTATTTAAGACTATGGAACAAACTGTTCAAAACTGGTCTTAAGATGACGTGTACTTTGTCTGCAAATTACGAGTCTGGTACTAAGGAAAGGAAAATAAGTTGAGTAATGACCTACTGACAGAAGCAGCACGGAAAGCAAACCTATCAGCTTTAAGACAAGCCAGTAATTTTCCAGATAGTATTATATGATAGCAGCAAATGCTCTTAACAGTCAATTAGATTTGATCCAGTTGGTCTCCTCCAATTTTGTCTCGCTCCTAGACAAGCCTTCAGAGTTCAAATGAGAAGTGAAATTAGCTAAGTTGTTTGCAAAGGACAAGAAGCAAAGGATCTATATTTGTGCCTCTTCCATGCCACAGATCCTGCCAGAAATACCTCTGACTTACAGGAAGAAGCCTTTTGCAGTGGCACAGTGGCTTGAGTCATAGAAGCGGCTGCAAGTGCTTTTGAGTTTGGGGGAAAATGTTACTAACATACTGAGTTTAAAGCAATGAAAATAAAAAGGACTTCGAACTTAGTATGACTGATTTAAACCACCTGCCTCCTGATCCATTTGATATCTGCTCACAGCAAGAACTCAGGTAAGAATTATCACCAAACTGTTGTAGTTTCTCCTTTAGCAAAACCATGCTTCAGAGAGAACCAACTGAAAGACATAAACCAGCTTCTGCCTCTACAAGTTGAGGGCCGGTGGAGGGGGGAAACCAGTGTTGCTTGCTAACAACTCATAAGCCATTCAGCTACATTAATGCAGCTTCTTGCTCAGTTTGAGAAAGAAGATACCCCCATTTCTTGATTACTCACAGGGCAGGAATAGGGCCTATGGCTTTAAGATCAAGCTGTAAAAGTGAGTTACTTTTGTGAAAGAACTCAGTTGAATGAGCTTTTTCCCTTCCAACTTCAGACGTCATCTGCCTCAGCTGTGCAAACCACACAGTGTCACACAATGGGTCAGGTTGGAAGGGACCACAGTGGGTCATCTGGTCCCACCTCCCTGCAGCAGGGCTGTCCCAGAGCACACGGCACAGGATTGTGTCCAGATGGTCCTGGAATATCCAGTGAAGGACACTCCACAAACTCTCTGGACAATGTGTTACAGTGCTTGGTCACCTGCACAGTAAAGAAGTTCTTCCTCATGTTCAGGTGGAACTTCCTCTGCATCAGTTTCTGCCATTGCCTCTTGTCCTATTGCTTAGCACTACCATTTACATCCAAAATATCCAAGCTAACTATTGTACACAAGGACAAAATTTGTGCAAGGGAAGTCCCTGTTACACTCAAATTATGTATATGATCAGGAGCTTCAAAAACCTTTTCAAATCTGAAAGCCCAGTGAAATCAGAGTGGAGTAACAACCACCAAAAAAAAAAATAAATGAAGCCCAAGGAGCCCATGAGGAATTTACAAAGCTAGCAATTTTTCACTTCCATAAACATTTAATTGCAATACATAGTTTCCCGTATTATTTTGCTACTATACTTTTTTCAAGAAGAAAACAGGTTCAAGTTTTATGCACACACTCACCTGTGTTATTTTATTTTTCTTAAACACCTTTGAAGTTCAGGTTTACACACTAAAAAAATGCTGAGACCAATCAACTGTTCCTGTACTTCAGACACTGGGTACAGCACCCTGAAGGGCAAGTTACACAGAACCACAGAGTGGTTTGGGTTGGAAGGGACCTCCAAGATCATCTAGTTCCAACCCCCTGCCATGGGCAGGGACACCTCCCACTAGACCAGGCTGCTCATACCCAGTGCTGAAGTGACTCTGGCTGCTACTACAGTTACACAAAAGGGGTTACTCAGTCAAAAGAAAAGAAAAACAAGGACATTAATAACATGCAATGGAGAGTTTAATTGCAACATGCTCTTCGACAGGAAAAGCAGCAGATACAATCTGCCAAGTTGTGTAGCACCTGAGTTAGTGAAGGTCCTGGAAAAGGTGGCAGCGGCTCACTGGATGGAGTGCCAGCTGGAAGTTCAGAACCTACTGGTAGCACCTATGGATAACGAAGAGGAAACGCGCGTCCATCAGACAGGGAACAACAGAGGGATCAGATACCAAGCTACAGTCAGTCACGTCATACAACAGAAGCCTTAACATTTTTTTCTGTAGAGACTTCCTCCTGGCAGAGTTAGCATACAGAGTTTTTAGGTATTTTGGAAACAAAGTTGGGGGAAGTTGTTTGCTTTTTATAATCCAGATTACCTTTGAGCAGCCACAATTTCCAGTTTAAACAAGCTGCTGTGTCCAGGAACTATCTTGGGGATATTACTTTCAAGTCTGCAAGAAATGCTAAAATAATTCTTCCAAAAAGCAATTAAACTTTCAAGAAGCTTAATTTATAAATGGTGCAAGAAGGCACTCAGTCTCCTTACAACAGATCTGTGTTAACTTTCCATTAGAAACTGCAAGCTACGTGCTTCTGGCACATTATTCCAAGCAATGTGACTTGGGAACAGGAACTGTCAGTGCCTGAGGATGTCTCCACTTGTTGAGAAACAGATTTATAGAGCTCTCACACCATCTTTTGATCCATCACTACTTTTTGAACTGAAGTGTGTTGATGACCCACAGAAGATGACCAGGCCATGCATCTGGGTAGGGAGAAGTCATCCAGGTTACGTAAAGGAGGTTAGAGAGACTGGAAAGGTTAGAAGAAGGCATCAAAGCCTCCCCACCAGGTCAGACAGTACATTCCAGTTAGTCATTTCCATTGTTAGGGAAGTGGGAAGTTCTAGGAATTAAGTGACCCATTACACAATTTGCAGTTCTTATTCCCAGCTGTCATCTTGAGGCCTGACCATGATGTGAGGTTTGCCTGGTGAGTTCCAGCACTGGACAGCTGTCTGCCCTTGTGTGACAGTGACTGATGGATATGGGTAACTGGCCCAAAGTCTACCCCAGGCCTCAAGCAGCAGAACCAGTTCCAGCTTGCAGTGTTACCACAACTTAACAATGGTTCACACTGCAGTAGTAACTGCCTGGTGAAGGTACATCCCATACTTATCTATCCTCTCAAAAATGTTTCAGCAGGAACTAGGCCAAGTTGCCTTAGCTCAACATTTTTGCACACTAAGAAACACACAAGGATATTACCTGTTCTGAGGCATGATGAATTTTTAAGCTGTGGTAACTTCATCATTTAGTTTGTAAATAAGAGGCAAAACATACTTCAAATGCATTTGTAAGACAAGTCAAAACACATTTAAACTGTCCAAGTTAACAGCTTGGCCACAAACAGAATAAAACACAGAGAGCTTAGCAAACCCCTGAAAACTAAAGCAATAAGCTCCTTAAAATTAAGTAACAACACGGAAAGTGAAACTAAAAGTAAGCTTTGAAAAAAACCAAACTAAGTTATAAGTAAAAACTTCAAAGAGGAGGTAGGTTTTCTAAAAGGAACAATCAAAAACTCCCTAACATTTATTACATTTAAACTCAAGCCTTTTTAATTACAGGTTTGCAATTAGCAAGTTTTTAACTGCTCCTGAATGGATATCACTTTCTATTATTTTCTAATCTTTCTTTTCTAATTCTCAATTTCATTTAAGTATTAATGAATGCCTTCATGTCCAGATTTCCCTACCAACTTCCTTGGCACATATTCCCAACTCCTTGACAGCAGAAATATTCTACTTTCTTTGAATACAAAGAGTACATGGGAATGACTGCTAATGAATGGAGTTATTGGGAGCATTAGCTCAGTTTGAATGGTCTGAAACTGGTTAACAGCAAGGCCAGCTAAAGATGACCAACACTAAGTGTTGGTGAGTGGAAAACAATGCTACAGAAACAGAAAGAAGTGAGTATTAAAGTTTTGGGTTTGTTAAACACCTGAAAGTTTCTTCAATCTATTTTCATTTAAGAGTTACTTCTCCATTTAAGGAAAGGGTTACCAAGAGTTTAAAATACTGAAATGCGCTGTCTCCCAATATGGAGCGCCATTTAAGAGAAAATAAGTAGTTTAATTTCACATATTGATATATCTGGCTAGCAAGCAGGTAACAACCTCCACAACACCTCCCAAATTGTTACTCTTAGTCATTACTATCTCTTTATGAAAGTGTTTGCTTGTAGAGCACAATTCAAACAAATGAAAGAGTTTTGTTTCAGATCTTTTAAACTTCTCAAAATCCTGCTTTCACAAATCTAAAATTTGAAAGGAAAACAGTATCCAGGCACCACATAAGCAGCACAGGACTTAAAAAAAAAATTCAGTCAGGTTTACCCTTATCTGCAAGGAGCAGGCTAATAACAGGAAGCAAAGCTAAGCTATCCTGACCACTTTGTGAATTATACAACCACTTCATCTCATTCTAGTCATCGTGTACAAGATAAAAAGCTATATAAAGCAATCCTACAAAATTCTATTTGAAAAAGTAACATCAAGAAAAAAAATAAACACATAAAACAAATCACAGTTGCTTTACTCTTTGTGGTTTAGGACTAGGAAAAACTAACAGTGACACCAGAGACCTCTCTCAGAAGCACACTACAGAACTGGACTTCTTTTTTTCCCTGATAGGGACAAAACAAAACACCTCTTGGGATACATGAAAACCACCAGAGCATAAAACTTTCAATACTACATTAAATGAAGCCACCTCTGCCTGAATACACATTTTGCTTTATAACAAGGATTCTGCTCAAGAAGGCGATTTTCCTACAACAGCTGAACATTCACACAAACACTGCATTTCTTACCGGTACCCTGCTAAGGGGGGGCTTGGAAGGAGAGGTCCCTGGTTTCACTACTGATGTCGCAATGCTGCTCGGTGCTGAAATGTAGCTCACTGGGGTGATCCCTTGCCCGGGAGTGGCAGCTGGAGTCAGCACTGGCAAGCCAGTTGGTCCAAGAGGCAAACTGCTTGGAGGTATACAAGTGCTAATGGATGTCAGGGGTTTAGTTGGTGCAACAGCAGTGGTTGGTATCCCAGGAACAACTGTCGTCTCCATCACCAGCGATGTCTCCAGAGACACTGAAGGATGCACTGTTCCCACATTACCATGCTCACTGAAGAGAGACCGTAGCTTTTCTTCCAGGGTCTTTATGTCATCAATACCAGGAGCTTTAGACTGAGCATCAGCATCAGCCTCCAGACAGTGAACGTGAGGCTGGTTGGGTAACGGAGCTGGTTGAGGCTGGCTGTGTATCAAAGTCTGCTGAACGGCAGGCAAGTTAGTGACTGGTTGCGGCAAGACACCAGGCAAGGGAACCTGGGGCAACATGGGTGTTGCACCTGAAATCTGGGGCAGGACAGGTGTTGATGTAATTCCTGATGGGACGAGTAAGGGATGTATCACTGGTTGAGCGACTGAACCACATATGCTTGATGCTACTGAGGATGACAAAGGTGCAGAGATTGGAAGAGACAAACCAGCTGCACTGCAGGGATGCGATGTAGCCAGAGACTGCCCACTCTCAGGTAGTGACTGTGGAGCACTTACAACTGTTGTTTCTGCCAGACTGCACACAGAGCCACTGCTACTAAGGTGAGGAAGCTGCAAAGCCACGTTCTGAGCCAGAGACAGGGCAACGGATGTCTGTGGTGCTGCCATACTACTTACAATCTGAGGAGTAGACTGAGATGTCACAGTCGGTGCAACGACACCAAGACCAGTGACACCAGGAACCTGGGTAGATGGCAGTGCCAAGGACGATGGTGTGCTGATACTGGGGGCAATATCTCCAGTTACTGGTTGAGCGGGCTGGGATGTGGTAGATAAGGAGAAAGAAGCAGGGGCGCTCACACTGGAAGTGACACCAGTCGATTGCTGTCCAGATTGTGAGGCTGGAGGTGGAGAAACAGAGCTTGGCACACTTGTGCTTGGTGCAGCTCCAACAGCTGCATTTTCCGAAGGCAAAGTAACAGATTCTGGAAGAGAAACACCAGTGCTGGAGGAAACAGATATTGAAGAAGCAGCGACAGATGCAGGAGTTGCACCACTGCCCGCCATGCTAGAAAGTGCAGGTGGAAATGGTGGTACTGTTTGGTTGAACACTGGAGGAGCTGTACTAGGTCCCTCTGTCATCTGAGCATGCCCCATCTCAGAGAAAGCTTGCTGCAAGCTCAGTGATGATGCTGAGTGGGAGAGATTCATTCCAGGCCCGTGTACTGGAGATGCAGCAACTGGAAGAACATAAAATTATCAGTCCACTTGGAAAAGCTCATTACAGTATTATTGTCTATGGCTAAACTAAGACCATATTTACCTCTTAGCATCACTAAAAAAAAAAACCCAACAAAATAAAACACAGAAATCCAAGCTTACCTTAAAATACAGAATTTAAGGTTTCAGTCTTGCAGAAAACTCATCAGAATTTTTTTTGCTAAGAATCCAGCACAATATGACCTAAACTATGATCACTTCTCACCAGCACAGACAGTTCCTTACTTCCCCAAGTACTTCAAGAGGTCTTTAGGAACAGTTTAGCTAGCTAACTTCAGTTTTGATGAGCATGTCTTAGCCATCAGGTTTTAAGAGTTTAGACAACTTACCCATATCTGAAGTTTCGCTTCCTCCAGAAACAGCAGAGGTGAAAAAGCCCTGTTCTTTTAACCGACTCTCAGGGACAGGGCTGACAATAAACCGTCTTCCCGCAGAATGGACAACCTGGGTAAAGGAGCTAGAAGGGACCCCTAAACAGAAAGAAGTCAGAAGTTTAGACACTGGCAGTAACTAAATACATAACCTGCAATACGGAATGTGCACTCCATCATACAAAACAAAAACTTGGCTGCACCCATCGGCTGAAACAGAAAAAGGTAACTGTTGGGAAAAACCAAAATAATCACAAAAGACTTACCTATTCTTTGTGGCATGGAAGATGTAGGATCTGGCTGTTTGAACTCTAATTTCTGTAAAGTAAGATAAAGTTTAAACTTCTATTCTGAAACAGAAACCCACAAGATAGTTCTTAAAATGCTAGCTGACTGAAACGTGGGCATTTAAGAGAAGCAGTACCTTGGACCCAAGCACCATCACCAAACTAGAGGAATTGTGCCCAGATAAATGTCAGCTACAGTGGTTTTAGAGCTTCTCGGCTTAGAGACCATCAATGTAACAAATTGATCTAAGCGCTTGCTTGTTAACAGGCAGTCCAACTGATTTTCTTAAACATTCCACAGATAAAAAGATGTTTCAAAACAGTTCTGGGTGTAATTAAGGCAGAGATTCAGGAAATGTCACCCCAGTTTATTCCCAGCAACCAGTTTCAAAACCTATGTTTCCTAACTGAGCTATCCAATCTCCTAGTATTGCAGGGGGTAGAGGGCCTGAGTCCAGGCTCTCAGTGTTTAGTGAGCAGCACAGGGTTGGGGATTTTACTGTCCTACCTCACAATAATCTCAAATCCAAGAAGCCTCAGCATTTAAGACTGTCTGTTTAGTGGACTGTTAGGAGATTCAGCAGCTTCAGAAGTCTTCAAACACACCAAAAAGTAAGAGTTCTGTTATTTAGCTTTCTAAGTGAATTTTAGGCACTCACTGATACAAAGCTTTCTCTGTTTGTGTTTTCATTTAATTATTAATCTCTGATATCTCTCATGAAAGAAAGTTGCTGTATCTAACTAGTTCTACTCACAAAGCCATATCACCCAAAATGGAAAATGCAAAAAGCTAAGGCGATCTGTCCTTTACATACCTGTGACCCTGGAAAGAAGCCATCATCTTTTGTCTGCATGCTCTCCAAACCCTGATCACCTTCTGGCTCCACGCTGGCATCCTCACTTAGCATTTCATCTGCTTTCTCAATAATCTCTCGTACCTGTTCTACGAATGAGTCTCTCTCTGTTGCTAAAATAAACTCATTCTGCACCTGTAAAGAGAACAAAACAACATTCATTTTCTACCAATGATTTCAAAACAATACATTGAATAACAGTAATTTGCTCTTGGTGCTAATGTTTGTCCTTCCTTTGCTGTTCTGCACAAGACAAAGATGGTGACACCTTAGAGAAAAACAATTCTTTCTAAAATTATCTCCAGCACAGAAGTATTTGCCCTGGTTTAATCTTTGCTGTGGAACAACATTCAATCTCAATTCTTCATCAAACTGTCACCTCAGTCTTTGCTTAGCACAGGGAGATTTAAAATTAGCAGCCTTATCTTACTGCAGTTCCTCCTGTCTAATGTAAGAGCCACATTTAAAGGGAACTATAACATAAAAGAAATTGAAAAGTCTGTATTTCAAGATGTGTTCTGTGCTTCTCTCTTTCCATACAACAACTACTCTATGCAGGTTGCACATCACTAATTTAAAGTCTGGCTGTAGTACATAAAAGCCAGTATTAATTACGTTCCAAATACAGGAAAAGGAAGACTGCTCAGCCCACCTAGTTTCAATACATCATACCTGCTTTATGAAAATACCTTCTGCTGCTTATATTGGAGAAAATTAGCTTAAACAAGCATATGTGACATTTAGAAAGACATTTTTGGTTTGGTCTGACCCAGGAGAATATTCTGTCTCCTGAAATTACGCATGGTAAAACTCGCAAGAGACAGTCTGTGAAACAGAAGCAAAGCTGTCAGTCACAGTATCTCGGCTGGAAAAGAGAGAGAAACTGCCTTAGAGGTAAAGCTTGAGACATTGCATTTACATCAAGTTTCTGGGATGCTGGTTCAGAGAAAGGAAAGTCAAGCGTGATGGGTGCTTTTATCTCCCTCTGCAATGCAGCAAACTTACTAGTTAAAGAAACCTTCAGTGTTTTAAGTTGAGGAATGACAAGTATCTATATGGGGTACACCTGACAGCATAATGATTAAAAAGAAACCATAAAGTCTTACAGTCAAAAGTTTCCTCAGTATTCAACAAGAAACCCACGAGCACAACGTTTCAGATTCAGATGTCTAATTTACATTGCACAGTTTCAACTATGTGACTGCATTTTGGATGCACAGTTCACTTATTTTGCTTCTACTCATCTTCAGATACTGTGGGGTTTGTTGCTTGAGCTGTGTGTGCTTGTTTTCGTTTTGTTTGTTTAGATTTTTGGTTTCTTTTAAAATCAAATATACTCTTTTATTCCTATATAGAATCACTTCAGGTATGAGGTAAAGATAGACACTGTATTTCTTGGCACTTGACTTTATGTTATTGACTTGTTTACAGTGTAAATACATGTATTTAGCCAAAAACCAACTTCTTCCTCTTTCTTAAAAAGCCATTAGTCACAGAAAGATTATTTCTCCCATATCACCGGTTTGGTTTCTTTTGACAGGTATGAATCCAGCACACACCAACAGAGGTACACAAGAAGGTGGCAAAAGATAGTGCATTTTGTCATCCTTCCTCACTTCACTAACACTTAAAACAATCTCTGTTTCATTTAGACTGTACCAGACCAAAAACAGTTTAAATAAAAAAAACAAGAAAGGTGTGCTAGTCCATGCTACACTCTCACTTAAATGTATCTCTACAGGGTAAATTATTTTATATGCTTGGCCATCATACATTGAATGGAGAGGTTTTTTTCCTTTGAGAAAGACAAAAGCAGCATCAGTCACTACAGACTTTCAGAAACCAGAAAGTGATTCCCATTCTTACTTCAAGGGCAGAACCTTCCCATTTTAGTTGAGAACAATGGCAAAACACTCAAAATGTAGGAATAAGTTTTAAAGACCTAGCAATGTTTGCTCCTAGAAAAGAAACCAGAATTTTTTTTAACCTGACATTTCCAGAAAGTTGTTTGCTGTTTTAAAAAAAATTAGACTGCAAAAAAACAGATGCAAATTTACTTGATAAAACCTCAGTTCCAAGGTAAAACCTGAAAAACTGTCATGTGAATTGTGCATGCAATATTAACTGTCAGTCAGGTATACCACTCTGTGCCCAGAGTTTCTAGTTGTGCTTGTGTACCAACAAGGTGAACATACACCATACTACCTGGAAGAGCAACTCTGAAACACAAGAAAAAATAAGTCAGACCAGACTCAATTCTACATCTCTAAAATATATCTTACCATAATTGAAGCTATTTCCTCAGGGTTATCACCATCCAAATCAAATTTGAAAGTAACCATTTTCCGATTGTGTGTCTCTAGCTGGCACTCCACTACCCGATCACCTTTGTTCGAAACCTAAAGCAAAGAAAAGAGTACTTCAAACCAAAAGCACAAGAATCTAAGGCTTTTTCTTTAAAGTTCATTGAAACAAACCAACAGTGTTGGTATAACACAAACTTGTTCTCTCTTTCCAGTCTAATAAATGGTGCCATGTACAGCATCATTTTTGTCTGAGGATACATCAAATATTCTGGAACAGTCTGTGGAACCACTGGTAGCTAAGCAAGCCAATTTTGCCAGATATAATGGTCCAAAAAGCTCTTAGCAGATAACATTTGGAATGGTGACTCCAGAAGCAAAAGAAATACACTGGACAGCTTGCATGCTCAGGGAGCAGGGAGCAAGGAAAAGACTGCAGAAGACACACATTCCTCGAAGGAAATAACAGTTTTAGAGGCTCACTACTGAACTGTCACTAAAATAAGAAATACTCACATTTAGAATTCTCAGTTTTGGCCTAGCAGTCTTCTCATGGCGAGAGCGACTGCGGACAGACCTCCTCATGTGCCGTTTCGCGGTCCTCCCCTCATGCCTTCCACTAGAAGTTGGGACATTCTCATTGCCATCACTCAATCCTGAAGCAACATCAGAATGTGCACTGGAAAAAAAAAAAGAAAAAGGCAACTTTACATTAGTATCCATGCATTCCATAACTGCAACAATACAGTTTAACCCACCAGACGATATTCTCTTCTGGACAGCAGTAGATGTGTGTCATCTCAGACTAGAGGAAGAGAGTCCTGTCAACACTTAGAAATTCTACTCAAGCAACCCTAACAGCAATTATTTTGCTACACCTCTTGCAAGCTGAATTGTACAAATCTATCTTCTGAATATGTCTTCAAGCTATTTGGAGTCTGAATTCTGTTTAAGTGTCAAAAGGACAGAAAAACATCCTTTATGATCCACTGGACATGAAAAATAAAAATGGACTATAAGTTAAATCACTACAGACAATCCTATTTATTCCCTCCATATCCAGCCATAAATCAAAACTTACTCCACCTCTCATAACACTATTTTTTTCTCTGGGAAGTTTATCTCCTCACATCCTAAAGAACACCCTTAGTGAAAAAAAAAAAATCCCTGGTGAAAAAGTATACCTAAAGATCACACATGGAAGCATAATTTAAAGAAAGCAATGCTTACCTATCCATAGAGGAAGCCAAAGGGGTAGATTGAGCAGGCTGTGTTGCTGGAAGAGTCTCTGAAGAAGCAGTTTGTGAGACTCCCTGAGAACCCTATGGACAGAAACCTACATCAAGAACCCCCCAAAGAATACAGTTCCTCCTCAGGTAACCCAGCAGTCTTTCAAACTTACTCCCAAACCAGCTGTAAAGCTAAAAGCTCTGCTTTTTTAGAACTTTAAACAGCTGGCATCTAGACAGCTCTAATTTACAAAAGATTCTAGAGCAAACTGCAGTGAAGCAAAACATCATCTGGGGAGGGGTGAGGAGAGGAAGTCAGCCGTCCTTTCTACTTCTACATGTCACTACAGTTTGCCATGCAGTCACGGTCTTACTAACAGAATGTGCAAAAGGCAAGCCAATGCAGAACACGAAGACAGTTCAAATTCTCCCTAGCAAGAATGACGCTGCAGGGAATAGGCATAATGACAGATTCTCAAAGGCTATCATTTGCAGCTTGTCTTTGATATGGCAAAAATGTTCCACAGGACTAGCGAGAAGTGAAGTGTTAACTGCTTTTTGCCTGCAGGATGGCACACTCACTTCCCAACAGAACAACCAGTGGCAACAAGGTCCCCACATTGGCATGACATTCTGCTGTAAGAGAAAGGTCATTTGAAATATTAATTTCCAACTGAAGAAAAGCACAGAACGGATCAGTTCCCCACATACATACACTGCTGCATGATTCAAACATCCTAAATGTATCGTTACATTATATTCCATATATTTACCTCCAAAGCTGCCTGCTGTGAGGAGGCAGATGAGGCCTGTTGTGCTAAACTCACTGGAGGCTGGGGCACTTGCCCCTGTCCTCCTATGCTGCCCATGGAAACGAGAACGTTCTGTTCCCCATACGGCTGCACAACAGGAGCGAGATATCCCGACTGGGCCATTGCATCTGTGGGTAAGGGAGGGGACAGGACAGCAGAAGGAATGCTGGCAGAAGCCACAGCAGAGGAAGGTGCGACATTCGAGTCCCCGGGGTACTGAGACGGCAGCCGCGATGGGAAACCCTGGAATAGAAACAGGGGAGTCAAGTCAGTGAATGTCAGAGCTAATTAGGAAACACGACAGTAAAAAAAAATGAGAAAGAAAAAAAAAAAAGAAAGAAGCATCAGTTCCAGGGGCATCTTCCAACCTTTTGTACTTATTCAAGCATTCCCAATATCTTCCCAAAGAAGCAAACTGCTCATGCAGCCAGCTTGCAAGTCACCATGCTTGAACAAGCAAATTCCCACTCATACTTCCAAGTCTTAGGCAAAACAATCTTCATCTCCCAACTCTCGCAGCTGCCTATGTAGTTTAATACTTTAAAGCCTGAGACATGAAATGAGTTTGAAGAATTTTCAGGCTGAACAACTACTGCTCAGATGTTATAAAACTGCTGCTGATTCTTGAGATTAATAGCAAAAACAGTCTTGTGTTCTTCCTGTCCTCTCAGGATGAGCTGACCCAGGAACAAGGAACACCTTTGTCATTATTCGGGTTGCCATTGTTACAGCGATCACACAAAGTAGCTGAAGCAGTCTGTGCCCACCAGTCAAGCAGTTCACAACTAGCATCAGGTACTTACATCACATTCAAGATCCATGCTGCCTGCCTTATTTCTAGAAATTCCATGTCCCACCCCTTCCCAGACTTGGAATGAAACACTGACATTGTTGAATATGCTGCCACTGATTTTCTTTCCAGTACACATCTCCCAGTTCTGAAGTTGAAATGTTTTGATTTTCTTCTTCTCCAAATTGACAGATCTCTTGGACATAAAGCTGTCCTCTTTCACAAAGTGGCTGAACAAAGCCCTGGACTATGATTCTGTCATTTTAGACAAATTCCAGTGCCAAATATGAAAAGTTCGAAACACCAGGGTATCCAAGGACCTTTTTTTTTCCTCTCCTCCTTAAAGCGTGTTTTTATCACACAACAGAATTCATGTTGGTGGTTTAATGGCTCTCTTATGAAAAGTGAGTTTAGCTCTGATACCTTAAAGGAACAGCTAAAAATGTGGAGAAGAGGTCTGCTGGCTTGCAACAATACCTGGTAAAGAGCATCTCCAGCAGGAAGTGAAGCTTCAGCAGCTTGTCCAATGCTGACTGGCAATCCCACGGACTGGACAGCTGGCTGCAGGAGCTGTGGGAGAACCTGGCTGGGCAGCTGAGCCACAGGCTGCATCATTGTGGGAAGCTGGCTAGGGACAACGGTTGATCCTACAGGAACAGCAGTTGCCGCAGCAGACGTTGCCAGTGTGAGCAATGGCTGATTCATGCCAGCTGCCATTGAAATGGGTAGTGACTGGAAACCTGGCTGAGCCACTGTCACATGAGGAGCTGCTACAGGCAACTGAGAGACTGGGAACTGGGGAACCACAGAAGTTGGCAAGGCCTGTCCCATGGGTAGAAAATGAGAGCCAATGGGGACTGATGGGGCAACTGAAGGCTGAGGGAGAGAAGGTGCTGCAACAGGTAATTGAGGCTCGCCTTGGATGATCGACACTGGCTGGGAAACAGGAAGCTGGGGAGGTAAAGAAAATAGAGATAGATTTTTTTTTTAAAGCAGGGCTGCAGAAAGCAGAGTTTTTACACATTAGTCAAAGAAAGCATTATTCAAGTTACAGCACTCTGTTAAAGTGGGCGGGAGCACAGTTGGCAGAGTGGCTGGGAAGCTGGCCGGAGCTCCAAGCGGTCCTCTCCTCGCAACACTTCCCTTTGAAGAACTCAACAGGCTCTTAAAACACACACCCACAGTGGGTGAAAGAGCAACGTTCGAATACCCTGAAGCACTGATTTGTGCATAAACAGAATCAAATTCCCCTCAACTCTGTCCTCAGACCCAAGGCCTGCCTTCTTACAGAAAAGAAGTGCAAATCTTTCAACAAATCTGTCAGCTTTGGGTATGGGGACTAAAGCAGAGGAAAATGAAAATCCACTGTGCCAGCATTCAGAGAATGGCAAGGGATATGTCAATTAAAGCCAGCAAATGATGCAACTGGAAAGGCAGTTTAGATGAACAAGCAACAAAACAATAATTTTAAAAACAAAAGTAAGGCTCACACATTCAACAGAGATATGAGCCAAAATGAAGCAATAATCAGTAACAGAAGCTTCTTGACCAGGGAGTAAAGGAGAAGAGCTGAGTAAGAAAGATGACAGAGTGAAGAAAGGAGTCCTATGGTTCACTACCTAAGTAAGTGACTATATAATGATGCAGAAGATAGACATTGTATGGGAAACAGAAATGACAAGTTCCTGAAAATCCATTCACAACACACCATTCATCAAAATGCCTCCTGATATTTTTGATGATTTAAAGATCTTTGTGCATGGAAGTACTATCTCTCCCTCAAATTACTCACGACTGCCACACGTGAAAAGGTTTCCAACAAAACTGACAATTGCAGTACACTAAGAATACTATTGCCTGGATGAATGTTTTAGAACCATTAGAAAAGATGACAAATGTGAAAGTAGCAGCATGTTGAATTTGCCAGCTGTGAAGAAAAAAAAAATAAATCTTCTGCTAGAAATAATTTTGTTTACCTGTGTCCCAGCTGCTGCCTGAGGCATTGGCATAATCTGTGAAGTTTGAGTTTGAGAGACAGTTTGTGCAGGAGTTGTGCCAGCAGAAACTGGTGGCTGCTGCAGCTGGTATTGCCCAGGCTGTTGGGAAGAGGCTGGCTGCTGTGCACTCTGTAGTAAGAAAAGAGGCAGAAGCTGTATTTCCCACACACAGAGGTTTTTAAAGCATATCGTACTTAAATTCTACTTTTTACTCTCTCACAAGTAATATCAGTGCTTCTTCAGAACACGCCAAGTCAATTAAGCTTTAGCAATTATTAGCAACACTAATACAATTACATTATCAGCACCAAATCTTGCAACAGAATTATTTCCCCTGTGTGAACAAGAATGAAAATTCTATAAAGGAAGAAAAGGCAGTTAAGAGAAGAGAAATGTTGCAGAAGATAGTATTTCCAGTTAGGAGAAATCCTAAGAATGAAGTTTGCCTGTCTAGACAGTGTAACTTGCAAATCCTGACACATCTCCCCTTGAACGAGACCACCACTGCAAGCTCAGGTGGAAGCTGGGGAAGACAGACATGGGAAAAGAAGCATTAACATGATTTTAAAAATAAATTCCAGAAGGTCAATGCATATCTCATAGGACGTTAGACTGGGTGAGAACCAGAGGATTCCTTTGCTTTTGTGCAAAACTATGGGTTGAAGGGTGACAGAGGAAGTCAATTGGTCTAAAAAGAGTCATCAAAATCCTATACTAAGAGTATTTTAGCCCTGTGTTTAGGAATTGTGATCTTACCTGCTGAGTGTGCTGGGTAGGCTGGGATGGCACTGATGCACTGCTCGAGGCTGGCTGGCCTTGCACCTGTGTCTGGAGGAGGGGGGGAAAAAAAAAAAGAGTCAGCTTAAAAAAACCCTATGATTTCTGCCATAGGCAATTATAATCATTTCTGCCTGGAATGATCTGGTTAGAATAGGTTTCTAGCAGTCCTTTTGGACAAGCAGTCCTTCTGGCCAAATTCCACTATGACAACCAGAACAAAGCAGAGCAATCTGGAAGAGTTTCAAACTTCATTTTAAATCTTCCAAAATAACCAATACAGAAAATTTTTGCAACCCCTCAACATGACACAGATGAGCCTACCAGCTTCTTCTTCCACTGGTGATGCTTTAAAAGCAGGATGCCTTGGCATGATAACTGGAAATAGAGGCATTAAGTTTTATCTTTACATGTGTTCTACACACAGTCAGGTGGGGTGATAAAAGGAGGGTATATGGAAATCAAACTATCCATAAAAAAAACCAACCAACAAGCACAAAGATAAATGGAATTCCAGACCAATTACAACATATCCAGTACACATACACGTCATGAGTTTCCTTTGAGAGGTATGTCAAAATACAGGCTAGTAATCATTCCCAGAGTCACTCCCATTCAGAAGCTACCAAGAATCGGATATTAGGGAATGTGGGGGTTCACATTCTAGCTAAGACAGAATTTTTGAATAAGCAATGAAAAAAATGGATGAGTGGCATACAAATGAATGTGGAAGATGCGGAGGAAAATGGAATGGATTGTCATTATTCTTGTGGCTGACATTTTTTGATCAGATCACAGGATTTGCATTATGATTTTTGTGACAACTGTATTCCTTTATCAGCTCCTGGGAGAAAACTAGACAAAGACCTCCAGATGAGCTCCCTGAGCATGCACCACATTGGTGAACTGCCTTTGTAAGAAGCATATTTGGTACATATGTATCATATCAGAAATAACTACTAAAATTCCTTAATGCTGTGATCATTCAGCTTGAAAAAGCTCATTAGGAACAAGTTTATTAAAATTACATACTTTTTTAATTATAGAAACTTTGAGGAAAGTAGACTGCCAATAAAGAGAACCATTTTTTTCTTTGCTGTTTTAGAAGCTTGAGGCCCTTACTGGCTAAGATCTAAACATGTGCTATATCCCACTGCTATAACATCTGCTCATATTGACTTAGTTTAGGCTTCAAATTCTAATCTTTTAATGAATTAGATTAAAAGAACTTAGATCCCAGAACTTATATTCTGTAAACAATCACGATCTCTTATTTTGTTTTCCAGATGTATTTTACATGCACCAGAATTCACTTCCTGAAGTTTAACAAAGGTTTATGAAGAAAAAATCTCCACATAGTTTTCAAACTTCTTGAGTAGCAGATTCACTCTACAAGTTCTCCTACAGCACAGCAATTGCTATCTATTAGACTAGTGATTAAAGCTGCTCCTGCTTTAATAAACACAGAAAGCCTTGAATACTTAGTTATTCATCTTACCACAGAAAGTAAAATGATTCTCCTTCACACAAATCCCAAATTTGCTAATACTCCAACAACTAAAATGTTAGAGCCCCTAATTCCAAGGACAGAAGAGGTAAAAGAGAAGTCTACTTAAAGTAAACCTTCTCTTTTCACAAAAAGTTATGAGAATTTTCAGACTAAAGTGCAGACACAATGTATACACACACACACTTCACAGTCACAGTGTACAAAAAAGTGACCATTGCAAGCGCAAATACCACATATGCTGATAAAACATGTACCTCTAAACTAAGCTTCAGGCCTCCAATTTTGCTATTTAAAAGGACACCATTCTAGGCTTAGAAGGTGGCAATACCTATTAGCAACAGTTGTCTGTGCCATTAATTAACTACTCAGCCTGTTTAGTTTCTTCAAAGATCCTCCAAACACATTTCAAATCCACGTACATGTACATAATATAGCTCCTTCCATTCCTCTCTTCCCACTTTCTTCCCCCGAGTCTAGAAAAAGCTCTTGCATTTTGGACAGTCAGCAAAATAACTCTGTTGTTGTCTAACGAAACATTATTCATATGAAAGTTCAACTTAAAATAACACTTTCTCATTAAAATTAAGGAGCAGCAAAGTTTTACTATCACTGCTGATTCCAACTGCGGAGAAGATACATTTCATTGAAAGCACTGATTAAAAGCCAATTTGGTCCTCCAGTTCTCTCTCACTAAAAAAAAAAACAACTAGTCCCAGGAGGAACACTTAACATTTTTTTACTCTTAATACAATAGCCCTACAAATATTTCAGCCAAATCTGAACACAAACCAAATGGTTGCTGATGCCTCATTATCTCATCGCAACCTGGTAAAGGGATCCTAGTATAGACTGGTGGAAAGACATCCCCAAGAATGCTAATACTTAGAGCCACAAGGAGCAAATCTAAAAGTAAGGCTCCCCTTTATAAGTACAAGGTAAGACTTATAAAAAGCAGAGAAATTCTGGACGGGTTTGCTCCTGTAACCTGAGGATAGGATGCAGGTGGTCCTGATGAAAGCGAGGTGGACAAGGCCTGCTGAGTTGAGGCTCCCTGGGGGAAGCAGATGAAGAGCTGCGACTCTTGCAACACCTTCTGAGGCAGCTGAACAATGGGCAATGAGAAGTCTGAACCAAAAGCAGAAGATGAGCCCCCTGTAGGGGGAGGAGACTGGAAATCACCAGTGTCAGAGGAAGTCAGCTGTGAGGAATCACTGGAGTATTCTGGGCTTCCTTCTGGCCAGCTCCGCCTGGCAGAGCCCCCTCTGGGACCTGCTAACCCAGCACCAAGATAGTTACACTGCTCCTCTGTCACAGGCTGAAGCCGACCATGCGACCCTATGCCTTGAGTGGATTCCTCTTGACTGGTCTCCATAGAGCCCCGGCGACTTCTGTAGACCCGCGGGGGTAAAACTGCCCCTTCTGCCGAGGCAGAAGTCGGTGTGTGCACATGGAACTCAAAGACACAGCTCGCTCTGCCATCACCACTGTGAGAGAGCACAGCCGGGGCAGAGTGCGGAACAAACACCTGGTGGAATGTCATCTGAGCAGGGTCTGCACTCAGAGGAGCTGAAACACTGGATAATGGAGAAAGGGGACCCATCCCAGAATCCAGCCTCAGGTTCTGAACGGGTCTTGCCAGGTATGTTTGCCCCGGTTGAAAATCGAACACAGAGCTTTGTGGAGGACCACCTTGCCCATGGTTTGACTCAGAAACCTGCTTCAAATGCTGTTCAGTTGCGTGAGAGTTATAAGCTACTTGATCATACTGCTCCGATACCTGTGATGGATAGTGCATGCCCACCAAATATACAGCTTCTGGATGCATTCTGTAGTGAGCATCCTCTGGAGGTGTTGGTCCAGATCTATAGTCATTGTGGACAGGAGCTGGCTCAAACACAGGATTAACTTGCACATGCAGAGGCTCCCCAGCGACTCTCTGAGCTGCTGTGCCCAGCATAACGAACGCCTCTGGTGTCCAATTGGTGGGACTACCACCAGGTGGAACTAAACTCTGGCCAGTCTTCAGCAATGGCTGGAAGTGGCAAGTTTGGGCTTCCAAAAATGAAGTGCTCTTGCGCCGCTGAGCAACTGCCACCTTCGGCGGGCAGACAGGTGGTGGTGAGAAAGACACCGGCCGTTCATGAACGGTTGGGAAAAATATCTGTGAGTCTGGGAACGTTGGTGTTCCCCCACGTGGATGCTGAGGCTGTATTGACATGAACAAGACAGGTAATTCATACATTAAAAGTGAAAGCACATCAACATGCACAGTTCACTAGGCAGTTCTGTGAAGTAACTTTATAGAATTCATACTCAATTCATGGTCAAAAACATACAGTACTAAGGAAATTTAGGTGAGTTGTAAATATCCATTAAATACATCCATGGCAGGCATAGCTACAAACGGGAACATTTGCTTGTGTTAGAGCTGCTTTTCCAGTTCAATTCCAATAATTCACAAAAAGAAACCAGCTTTGCTCATGACAATGGAAAGAGATTTATTGTCACAGCCTATCCATTGTGATCAGTGCTTGAAATCCAATCAAACCCCTGAGGTCACTGCCATATGTGGAGTATGAAATTCAGAACTTGAGAGCAGCAATGATGCAGAGCCTCTAATTTGCACTCAGAAGATAAAATTACATTAAATCTCAGTATTTTCCAACACAAAAAACCACAGTGTACGTTATCCTGTATGCTATCCAGAGAGCTAAAAAAAAAACCTTTTATGAGACAAAATTGAACCATTCCAGCACACAGGCAAAAAAAAAGCCTCTGATAAAACCAAAGAGCCTTTGGGTTCTGCCTAAGTTGATTATCTCTCTTGATCCACTTAATCACACCTTTTTACACTGAAAATTAATACCAATTGAAACAAATCTAACTCTTGCCCGGACAATAAAACATTCACAGGTTTAGAAAGAGTAGAGTCCTCAGGCAATTCCACTCCATCTCATTTACTATTTCAAACGAGGCTCACCTTATTTAAGATTTGTAGGGAAGATTTCAATAAAGACAGTTTATGTAAGAATAACAAACAATTTAGTAATTTTGCAGTTTTTCATCTCTGCCTACGGTGTGCTGAGAGAATACATTCTCTACCCTAACGGAAAAAGAACTGTAGGAGTCAGTAGCAAATACACTGCCCAAGACAGATGGCATTTATGACTTTTTCAAGTTGCTCTTTCCACGTTGTTTACTTTCTTCTCAGCCCCTTTTGTCCAGAAAAGCAGCAGCAAATTTCCATATTGACCAATACTAACAAGGCCCTACATGTTGAAATACTCTTCCTACATTCTAAAAACTGGTTCCACTTACTTCAGTTTCACAAAAATGCTTCTCAAAACCTATTTTGTGTAAATTGAAGCTCAAAATTGAAAAGGAACTACCTGTGTGTTGCAAGCTATCTTGCATCTGACTTTCTGGGAAACATGAAACTATGGCTTCTTCCCAACAAGAAGCAGTTGAAGTGGCAATTCTGACTAAAACTTACAGAAAAATCCTCAAAGGTATTCATAATCTACATTTCTAGTATCACTATCACAGCTAGCCAAAGCTTTGAGAATAACTAGCCACAGCAACCAAGCTTTTAAAACTGGTTGTTTTGTGCAGGGCTTAATTAACATTCAGTGTTTACTTAGAATTTGAAAAATAAAAAGCTATTCTTCTGATCATGATAAGAAATAGTCTTCCCTTTACCTTCTGTGGTATAACTTGGTAATTTATATTTAAACTATCCTAAAATACAAAAAGCAGATGGTCAGCCACTGTTTGATAATGTTTAAGTGTACTGCTTCATAGAAGGGGAAAAAAAAAATTTAAAATTCAGCATTCCAGCAGCACAGTGTAAGGACTCAACTCTTCATTTTCTCATTTTAAAAATGCCCAAAGGCCAGGATGTATTTAATGATAACTTATCTTACTGTGCCAGGAGGCAAATGGTAACACATACAGGACTGACAGAGAGGGAGGGCAGGCTGGAGCGTCGATGCTTGCGTGGAGAGGCAGAGTGCATGGGCAGGACACTTTCCAGGGCTTTAGAAAGCTTTTCTGCAAAGGTTTCTTCAGGGACAGTCCGAAGGTAGAAAGGAGAAAGAGGTGCAGACAGCGCTGGTGGTGGGGTGCAAGGAGCACTGAGAGGGATGCAGGACATACAGGGAAGAGCAGGAAGGTGGGGGACACAAACTGACATGCTACGACCACGTTGAGGCTAAGGGAGGAAAACAAAAGTTAAGAATTGAACACTTCAAAAACAAAAAAAAAGAATAACAAAATCAGCAAAAACTATAATGAGGTAGAAAAGAAATGAAGACATACAATGAGAGGCCCAATACTGACTCATGTGTGGTACAACAAGATATGAGAATGCTGAATGAATGCCAACACACACTGGGAACAGGCTGTGTGCACCTCTGAGGACCCAAGTTTGCCTTAGGTTACTGAGCAGTGTGGGAAGTTCCCTAGTACCCTTAGAGGAAACATGTGGAAGGCAGAACAGACAGTATTTTCTCTGGGGCCATGGAAGTAGCCCATACTGTGTGTTCTCAAAGCATCTGGTAGTCTGACAGATTTAAAAAACTTAAAGACACTGATGAGCTTTCAGACATTCATCAGTTTAGAGAGTGGGTGTGTGTTCACAGGTATCACCTAACCCAGTTCCTCTACTGAGACAGTCCCTCTGCCTGAATTAAGTGGACTAAATGTATGCAGCTGGCTCTTTATTAACTAAAACATTACCATAACAATTTAAACATTACACCCTCTACAACATGAGTTGTGCGGAAAAAAAAATCAGTTTAATATGTGGAAAATTCTGTAAAATTAGACAAGCCTTTTCCAGATGCTGAGCCAATAACTGCATCATGATTTTGTAATCTTGGCACAATCCAGAAGGCCACAGGTCAAAATCTAATCAAATCCGAAGAAACAGAATGAAGTTTTGGGATGGGATTTGCATTTTTCTGTTTGGTTTGGGGGTTGTTGTTATTGCCTTTTGTGTGTGTGTGTTTTGCTGTGGGTTTTTTTAATGAATGAATGAATGAATAGAAACATGACAAAGAGGCAGTCTTCAACTGCAAGTTTTCCTTCTCTGATATTATATGCTTCTTATGGGTGTAATCCACAATTTCTTAAACTAATTGAAATCAAATACAGATCTCCAGAGAGAAAACATCAAGATATTCAGTGGAGATCTGACTTTAAAGATTTTTGATGTGAGAAATCTTACGAGAGCGCTCAAAAATCTGGGAGAGAGGTATAAGAGAACTCAAATGGTTAACTAAATACATCGGCATCCATTTGAAGGCAGGAGTAGTTATATATCATTCCTGACTCTAATTTATACAAATTGTTCAAAAACATCTCCACTGATGGAGATTACAGTACTTAACTGTCTTTTCTGGTTAGCAAATTTATGCTTCTGATTTCTTATTCTACCTAACAACGTTGTGATCTGATTAGCATCCTCCTATTTTATAGCAGCCTTTTACAGTTTTCTCTCTCCTCAAGCTCATCTTTCATAGGCTCAACTATTTCAGTCTTCCCACATAAACCATGCTTTTGTATTTCTGGTGGGGGTTTTTTAACACCCTTCTCTGGATTTTCTCCCAATTCACCCTCAAATTCACTCAATCAAGGTGTCCAGGATAGACTTACCAACGGCCAAGAGCAGAACTACCATTTCATATAATGTGATGTTTGCCTCTTTCACAACAGCATGATGTTTTTGACCATGTCCAGTTTGTGGTACAATGTAATCCCTAACTTTTTTTTCTTTCCAGAATGGCTGCCTAGCCAGTTGTTGCTCATTCTGTACCTGTGTAGCTGATTATTACAGTTAAGCATGAACCTTGTTCTTGTCCTGATTGAATTATGTTCTGTGATTAAGGTAATTTTTCCAGTTGCCAATATAATTTTGACTTGTCATCCTGTCTTGCCAAAACAGGGTTAGTAGTTCCTGTAGTGTTCTACTCCATTCTGTCAGCCTCTTGGGACCACTGCTGTCATCATACGGCATGAGCACATTTTGCAGCAAACTAAGTAGCTTGGCTAAACCTCTATCATATGCTTGTTCTCCCACCCCCTCTCAAAAGATTACACCAAAATATGGCTTACCCAGAACAAGAGCTTATTTAGAGGGATTAAGAACTCATCCTCAAGGACTCGCAGTACCACACGCCTCAGGTTAAGTGTGTTGGAAAAAGATGGAGATGCTTTGCTCGTGAGTGATACCAGCCTGTTTTCCAAAAAGCTACTTACACCAGTGATTCTGCAACAAAGCCTACAACCACAGGTACCAGAAGAAATGAGGACCCTCAGCCTAAAGTGTCACATCTTCTCCTTTATGGTATTATTAAATTATACCATAATGTCTCTGTCTCAGACTTTTATTTGTGTAAAAAACGAACAACAAGGGAACCATTGAAGACAATATAAAAGTAGCAGAAGTTCTACTCCAGAGTTAGAATAGATTTCTGCATAGTCTCTTATCAGATCAAAAACATACCAAGGAAAAAAACATACCAAAATAAAAGGGCAACACAAATGAACATAGTAGGAAAAGTATTTGTGCCCAGTGCAGACTTTCCAGGGAAAAGGAATACGCATGATGAGCAAATCAACACAAGCTAGAAATAAAATTGGGAACAAGGATGTGGGGTCTTTTCAGTCTGGAGTTCTCACATGCAGCATTCTATAACAGTCAAAAAAATCTTACCTGCAAAAATCTGTAATCAAAGCCTCACAGAACACACACAGCAATTTCATACAGTAGCTCCAATTATTCTAATCCCTTCCCCAAACTAGACCAACAGCTTAATCCCTGGTAACTTCATATACACATACACAGACCACCTTCCTAAGCAAGATTAAATGCTTACATTTGTGAGACAGTCTTATTCCAAGGATGTTACGTCCATCCATAAAAAACCCTTAACCTATCATTCTGTATAAGTTTACCCAAGATTAAATAAAAATTTTAAAGACAAGGATGCCCTTGCACTTTTACTTCCCCCCTCTAAACTTAGTCACCTTGCAAAAAAAGCCCCTAAACTACTCCCATGCAGAATTTGTCCCCTACGGAAAACAAAACATACACGGAAGATGGCCTGGCAGACTTTCCCCTCACCTCTATACGGACAAACAAAAATCAGATAATTCCATGCATTTGCAAAACTCCAAGTTCCAGCTTACCCCTGCAGGTGGCTGAAATCCTCCATGCTGCTGTGACTGCACTTGGCCAACTGAAGCTGGGTATCCCTGGACTGCAGTGTTTGAGGCTGACTGGTCAAGCTGGGAACCATACGACACAGCCTGACTGCCCACACACGATTCAGCATAAACAGATGACCCCATGCCACTGTCAACTGTCCCATCGGCTGTAGAAGTTAGAGATAAAAATTTGCATTTCAAGAACTGCCATCTGGATTTAAAACTTGAAAGATATTATTATCGATCAAATATTAGATTGATGTTTGTAATATGTCACATGGACCTTAACAGCATTTTACCTCTTGTACTATTTAAGGCTGGTTACAAAATACTTTTTTTTCCTCCATACAGTAATTTATTACCAATATGCCTTCCCCTAACCCCTGGAAAAAATAGTAATTTCAGAAGTGCTTTGGGAAGACATTTAATAATAAAGTATGCTTCCTATAAAAGGCTAGACTAGACATAGAAACCTAAATTCCACATTGTTATGAATGATCTTTCAAGGGTTTTAAAATCATTATTTTCAATTTTACATGGACATATAAAACAGGTGGGTTGTGCTGGCTGCCAGACGCACCACACAGGCACAGTAAAGAACTAGGCTTAGTAGTCAATGTAAAATCCCTGTACCTAAAGAACAGACAATAATTTGCTTTTTAACTTCATCATTCTAACATGGAAGTTCTCATCTACCATCATTATTCAAATACTGACTCACATGCTGGGATGGCAGAAAAGACAGGAGTATTAATTCATCTTTTCATCTACAGTATGTAAAACAGAAAATAAAGCCTTTTCAGAAAGCAAATTATGATCTGAACTACTTGTAGATTTATCTCATTTTCACCTTAAATGTAAGTTAACAAGGATAAGTGGTTTTAGTATCTTTATCTGCACTGGTGCCAGAGTACACAGCCTTTTGCAGGGCCAGAATATACTGTCCCTATAGGGCAGCAAAAACGAGGACATATGTTCATGCTTGAGGTGCCCCAGTTCGTTCAGTCTATTACCTTGAAACTAAGAGAAATGTTTTTGTGCTGAGACACTGGACAGTGAATTGTGCCAAGGCTTAGCTCAGCTAAGGCACAGGAATGCATCTTATTTTGCTGTGCTTTCTAGGGGGCTATTGTTCTTCAGTAGACAGCATCACCTTAAGGTATTTACTGTTATAGCCACCAAAAGTGTAAGATCACCGGGAAGAACTGTGTAAGTGCAAGAGTTCCTAAATAAACCAACTGACACACTTACAAAGAACAGATACACTGGGCTGCTGGAACTGCAGTTGTTGGTGTTGATCAGCTTCCGGCTCTTCAGGCTCCACTTGTGTAGAAACCGATGCTGAAGCAGTGGGGACAAGAGTAGTACCCGTGACAGACTGGGGATGCTTTGACCCTGCATAGGAAGCACTTGGCTGCTGTTGCTCCAGCTGCTGCTTCTGACTACCTTCTTCCTGAAGGATCTTCTCCTGTTCTTCTCGCACCAACTGACGCTGCTCTCGCTTTCGCTTAATCAAAGATACCCTGTCCTTGATAGCTTTCGCCATCGTCTTGTGATCCCCTTCACAGACATAGCCAGATTCCACCTGAAGGAGGATATATTCACAGAATTCAGACTGTCACAGACAGCCACTGCTGCAGTGCTACAGCATAAGCTACCACTCCCTCTGGCATTAAATTCTCATTCACAAACCCCTGAACCAGTTTTATTTCTAGACAGCAACAGCAAAAGCAGAGGTGACAGACCATGTTTCACTGTCAGAAAACACCGGTACTTCCTAAGCTTTGTAAGACCATCAGCACTTACCATTTCCTGTGCTACATCCTCTGGGACATCTCTTTCCAAATCAAAGGAAAACTCTATTGCCTCATTGTCTTTATATTTGCCCTTGAGTTTTTTGATGTCTTCAATTCGCAGCCAGAGTTTAATGGCAATTTTTTCTCCATCGTCTTCCTCCGCTAGTTCTACCCGTACTCCAGTCTCTTCTTGGAAGAAAGCATGATTCAAAAGGTCCTTAATAGCATATCTAGCATATTGGGAAAGAACAGAGAAACCACACACAATTATTAGGTTTTCATAAAATATTAAGGAATATCCTTGCCTGATGATCCTCCAAATTTATTCTCCAACTTTATGTGTGTCTCATGCATTACTTGGCAGACCATCATACAGATTTCTACTTAAAAGCATGAATGAGAAACAAAATACAACAATGCTACAGAATGTACAAAAAAACTCAAACAAACCACACCTATTCATTTGGCTTTCATCTTTTGGTTCTTCTGCTGACCAAGAAAATATATATTAAATAAAATAATAACAAACCTTGAAGAGGCAGCTTGGGTATATCTATATATACATATATCTAACACACAACCTGTACTCCCCAAATTAATGCAGTAATCTAAGTATGTATTTCAATCTACTTCCAGATCTTATCAAAAGCCTCATGTAGTAAATTCAGCACTAGACAAACACCACTTGATTTCTTTCCTATTTTATACTATTTTGAACCACTTCATCTTGCATTCTGTTTGGCACAATTACAAGTTTTGTCCTGAAGGTACAAAAGAGATCTATGTTCATATATGCACAGCATTATCAATAGTAGTTAACAGCTTAAACTAAGTGGCAAGAAACAGGTGACGTGCAGCCACAAAATGAACTTAAAATGGGGAAAAAATATTAGGTTGTTTAAAACTAAGGAAAAGCACTGAAATTAAAAACACACAACAACACAATCAGATGTAAAACTTCCAAGAGTTAGTAGAAGGGGATGAATAAGAGGGGGAGGCTAGAGAGGGGAAAAAGGTTGAAGCATTCTTAAGTTGGATAGTCGGCGAATAACAAGCATGCAAAAGCAGCAAAAAAACCCCCCCTCAAACCCTACAAATAACCCAACAGAGCAGTTACAGATTTCCTGTAATGGTATAAGTTAACCACTTCAAGTAGAAGTCATCTTGCAGAAAATGAGGATAAAAATAAGCATCAAGAATTTCAAAATTAACACGAGTCTTCAAAATAATTAACCATAAAATACCAACAGAATCAAAGGAATAGTAAAAAACCCAAGGATTACAGAACAAATCCAACCAACCAAATACAAATACCTGGAAACCTGGAAGGACTGTCCTCCACAATTTTGCTGACTGGGTCAAAGTTTTAATAAAAGCAGTAAAATTTCTGAATAAACTGACATGGATGGTTACCACAGCATTTGCACTTTTTCTGAAGCTGTTAATTCTCTAAAACAATTGTTGCATCAGAATCTACCAACAAGCAGAAGCTGCAGAAGTATTACTGGCTTCCCAACTTACATCAAACACAGAAAACCCCAGGAACTAATTGGATCTTATACCATCACAGACAAAAGACTTGGACAGCAACTAGGATCTCTATCTGAAAAGGAAGTACTTACCTTTCACCTTTGTTTTGCCGAATGCATCCCTCAATAATCTCCTTCACTTCAGGGATTGCTACTTTATCGAAGCTGGCTGGCTTGACACCCTGAAACATAAAAGTGAGAACTGAGAAACTGGAAGGCTCACTTGACTTAAGTTTCGATTGTGTTTATAGACCAACTATTTATAATATATACCTATATATTTATTCTATAGATAACTGGCCTAAATAATAAGTGCAAATTAGAAAGAAATCTGACGCCAGTATTACTGTTCATTTGTTTGTCAGTGACTTTTGCAAACATCCCACACACACCATCTTCCCATCTCTCAGCTACGCTTCCATAACAGAAGGCACTGACATTTGAGTTCTCACGACAGGAGAACTGTTTAGTTTCCATAGAAGTTATGCTGGCTAGAGGTAAGTACACACACTGGACTGAGAATGGAAGGAAATGCTTCCTATGTAATCCTAATGCAGGAACCTACATGATTAATTTAACAGTCTTCCAAGCATTCTGCTGCTTCCCAGAATGTTTCCAACATGCCATTAGAAGTAATTTTGGCATAGATTGATTTTACAGGAAAAACCCTAGTCCAGAATGATCCAACTGGATCATTAAATAACTTGCCCAATGTCAAAAAAAAAAAAAAAAAAAGTCTTTCCTGTATTTTAGCTCTCCCCTGAAGACCTACTATACCCAAACCACAGTCCTGCATCACTGCTTTTGTGAGCTCAGGAAAATGAGCTCAGCTATACAGGCCTTTACAAAAGCCCTTCCACAACACACAGCAATCCTTTCTCCAATATGTGCTAAAACCACTGGGGGAGAGCAAACCAAAACCCAAATAAGATCAACTATCCAAACGAGTAAAACAAACAGGCCATGAGATATGACCATCTGGGAATTCTGAAAAACATTACCGGCAGAGAGCCAAGCTTCATCACTCATTCATGGCCAGAAACTGTATTTTGGGGCTAACTGTCCACAACAGCAAAATCTGGCACTTAATTTTACTCGATGCAGCCTTTAGCTTCAAACTCTGTATTTAAGACAGGAGAATGAAAGAGGATGAAGACATCCTGTTCAAATTCTGGTATATGAAGAGCTGGTGTTTTCAAGCCTAACAATCCTGAAATTACACACTTGATACATTTGACCTTGTGCCACTGGTACATCACAACTAAACAGAAAATGAAAACCATAGAGTCTGAAGAACAGAAATAAATGAAGTAGCAGTACAAGCATCATGATTTGAGTCCTAAACAGAAAGTACTTCTCCCAATAACCTACACAACACTGCTGCCCACCAAACGAGGACATCAAGACATGACTCTTCTCCATTCTTCTACTGTCAGTGAGAAACAAATCTTGAAACAGAAGTGTTTGAGTCTCTGAACTTGAGCCTTTGCAACTACAGACCTTAATTTAACCAAACATGGAGACTTAATATGGTAATAGTTTAACATCTGCATTTAGATACTTCTTCCCTTAGCCAGTCATGGCAGTACCTTGACTTCACATGTTCACCACATAAAATATTCTCTACCACACTCTTCCAGGAGAGGGCATTGTCAACATCAACTTCAACAGATGTAAACCAAAGTCTGGGAGAAGCAAAAAAGTCCAGTCTTTCAGTGGGCAATATCTGCCACCATGTTTTGCAAAGGTGTCGTATCTGGAATTTTTCAAAGAAAAAAGCCAACAAAAAACACCCACACTACAGGAAAACATTTATTTGATAAAAAACTTCCTGTTACAACAGCATTCTGGTTTATCGATTTCTTTGGTCTAAAATTTGCTCTTGTGAAATTCTAGGAATTGAAATCCACGGCACTGCAGGCTACACTGTGACTAGAATAAGCACTGAAACACAGGCTGTCAGTGAACATTAGCTTAATGCTTTTAAAAGCTTCACTGAACATCAAGACTTAAGAAAATCGATGCCTCGGGTGATAAGACAGACCCAAGTTTGGATGGCTAAGTTTAATACTGTAACCAGGGTATATCATACACCTCCCCCTTCCTAGCAGGACATGACAGAGCTCTCCACTCTAAAGGATTTATAAAACTCTGCTCATGTAGCTGACTTGTCAGAGATGTCCACCTTTCATTATGACCAAGCTTAAACTGGTCCCAGGAATTCAGGTTTATATATGTAGTAGATATGTTTCCACATGTAATTAAATGCTCTCCTATATGCATGTACACATATAGCCTGTGCAATAATTACTCAACTGCTTATTGCACACATTCCTATCTAAATTTGCCCAAATTTAGCACATGTAAGTCTCCTAAACAGCTCAAGTCCCTGACGTAGCAGCAGCCAGCAAAGACCTTCATTTAGGCTGCAGCAGCAGAAAGATGATGTCAGATCTGTGACAATCTCATTTCAGAAAAACTAAGAGGTAATATGAGGAAGACAACTGGCACAACGAAACATCAACAAGACGAAGCCAGAACATGATTTTTCTTGTTAACTATTTTACCACGTGCTCTGTTCTTGCATGGAGCCCGAAAAGTTAAAGCTAAGGATAGGTTTTAAAATCTGTGATTCAATCTGCTATCTTGTTTTTTCTCCACCCTCAAAGAAATTAAATACCTGTCCAAAATCTTCAGGCCCTTCCGTGAGGACCATTTTACAATACTCCATTTTGTGAATTCCAAATCAGGAGAGTTCAGTTAAAAAGCGAAGCTCCTGCCAACCTCCGCCAGCATGGCTTCCATGTTCCTAACTGCACCTTAGAAAATCTGGGAGAACCTCACACTAGGGCCTAAAGCCATCAGAGGGATTCTGTGTTCAAGCAGCTCCCTATTTCTCAGTTTGCTCCACAGTCCACGAGAAGGGCTGCCTAAGCCCAGTTCACAGTGCTGGCCAAGCATCCCCTACGCTGGAGTTCACCAGGTTCTTAAAACTTTTTCTTTTCCTCCTTCAAGCACTAGTGGAAGTAACAAACTATTTTATACAACAAGAGAGAAGGTACTATGAATGACTGGAAAAAAATAAATAAATAATTACATCAGTGAACTCTTTTCTATCCAGAGCTGCCTATGCACCTTAACCAGCCATCACACAGAAACCCAAGGGAGGCCAGGCCCTGCAATTCACAAAACCCTGATGTGTCCCTAAGAGTGCAGGAGCTGGGCAGCCAAGAACACAATCATTAGCTTCTGAACCCAAAGGCACTCAAGTAAATACCAAGCCATTCAGTGTTTCCTGGTTTTTACCATGCTTAAGATGGTCACATTCCTATATGCCTCTCCTAGCCCCAAACTCCTTAGAAGAATCACAGGGCAACTCAAATCTTTTAATCTACCAGTCCTATTCCCCAGTGGCACTTTAATTAGGGCTGAACACCCAAATCTCACTGGCATTATTTCTGAGTTTGCTAAAGAAACAGAAGGAAGAGCTCTTACAGAGAAAAAAAAAAGCATGCAGAGGTGTAACAGGCACACATGAAAATCACCAACATTTTCTCAAGCCACCACCTAAATTAGCACAAACTGGCAGCGCTGCTGAAAGCAAGAGCCTCCTTTTCTCCATCTCCAGTTCCCACACTCGTGTCATTTCCTCTCTTTCACTGGCAAATGCATTTATACAGTTGCATAATGAACCAAATTACAGCGTTTATCAGACTTTTGGTTGCAACAAATTCAACAAAAAAGCCTGCAGCGGTTTCCAGTGAGCTGGAGTTCCCAGTTTGGTACACTGCTGCACTACCTCTCAGGCTTACAGAAAGAAAGTTACAGAGCAATAGCTGACAAGGGCAGAACTTAAAACCCACTGAACACTTCCATTTTGAGAGCACTTCTAAAATAAGGACATATATGTAGGCAACACAAAGTGCCACTGCAAAACCAAAAACTCATCTTACAGTCCTCATGTTAAGCATAAGAAGAGATTTAATATTTCACTCAGGTGTGGTAAAGTTTGTGTTTTTATCAGACTTTAACCAGGGGAATGAAGTGTGTTCCAAAATTCAACATTTATATGGTTATTTGATCAATTAAAGGCAAGTTAGGTTTTCTCAAATAAACTAAATTTCCAAGAAACTTTAAAACACTCAAGTATAAGCTATCCAGAACTCTTCTTCAAAATTTTTGCCTAGAAACAGAGTACTTTTCATTAGTTGGATCACCACATTACTGGGTCAGTGGTAGCATCTTGTTCTAACGCAAGAGATACTGAACACATCATTTACTTCACTACAGAAGGTACAATCGGTGCTGCATAACCTCTACAACAAACCAAAATGAAGACAGAAGAAGTGCTACATACCCTCAGACATCCTAAAGAAAAAATAGTTAGATTTGGAAAAAAAACCCAGGTGGAAAATAGCAGAAGCAATTATTGTTCCAGCCTTGCTGGTCAGGATTTTAATTTACATTTAAAGAATTACAGGGGGAAAAGTACAGTCAAGTTCAAAAGCTGAAGACCCAAGCTATGCAAACGTAAGGCAGTTCAGCAGATTTGTCAAGAATTCACCTCCAAAATACTTTCCTGTGGCTACATGCACTTGACAGAGCTGAAATTCTTACTTACCTCTTTAGCACAGTCCTTGTGAGAGCAGCAACAGTGGGAATTAACAATTACAAATATGGGACAGATCTCTCTTTTTGTAAAATCCATCAGGAAAGGAGAGGCACACACACCACAGAGCTAGATGGGTGCTAATTTCCGATGGGAATCCACTAAGCTGTGGACTTAACGCACAGCGGACGGAAAGCAGACATCAAAGCTAGAAGGGAGCATTGTTTCCTGTTTGACACCTCTTGTTATTTTCCAAGTCCAGTACATGAGGCTGCAGAGATCTGAGCTCAATATCTGCTTTTGCCACTCTAATGCTGAATAGAAAGAATCAATAGAAGCACGAGGTAAGCGTGTCCTTTTCTGCCTGCCCAGCTGGCTGCAAGGAGGAGGAAGAAGTGACAGTGGAAGGATCCTTTACTTCCTGCATGTCCCCGCCCTCCTGCTTGGCTGCTCTACCTATTCTCCACCCATTTTTTCTGCACTAGCTTAAGGCAGCAGGTAGGATCACCAGGATCCTGCTGCTGCAGAAGTACCACTTTAAAGAGGGGAAACAGCTCAGTCAGTGGGTTCAGA